CTATGCATGTAACATGTGCAAGAAAGATGTCTCTTTGTTTTATTCATATCCGATCTTATTCTATGATAAGCTATTCGCATTAAATGCAGGGCAGTATAACAAAAGCACTTCATCCTAACATGCAGAAAAAGAGGAGAAACCACAATGTAAATAAACGGCAGTGCTTCTAGGTTTCTGTGAAGACATCAGCATGAAACATAAATAAATATGCTGTATCATACAAATGAAGATTATAATCCCTCAAATGTGGCATACACACAGGATAATCAAGATCTATGAAACAAAAGTTTCTTCGCGAACTGAATGATCTTAACGATACCAATACAATAACGAAGACAATCAACATAGACGATAATATTGTGAGTCTAATAGAACACTACAAAGTGCAGACGAAGATTTATAGAAGAGAAAAACAAGACCTACGCCTTCAAATAATAAAGAAAAAAGAACAGTAAATCATCTCCAGTACAAAAAAAAACCTCCCGAACACGGATCGAAAGAGATGATCATACTCCAAAAAAGCCTCCAGTGTACGACAGCCACGGAAGGTAGCAAATGAGGGATACAGACGAATAGCGTACAATTAATAGAAAAGGGCCAGAAAAACAAGGCACGCAAACCTTGATTGCGCGAGAATCGGCTCGTTTCGTCTTCCTGCAAAAGATCGGGAGGGAAGCGGAGAAGGGCGGCGAGGGAGAGAGGACAAATCGGGGAGGAAGAGATGATAACAAGAGCTAAAGGCTAAAGCTGCTTGAACCCCAAGAAAGGAGTCGCAAACGAAATGGAGTGTTACCGGGTCGGATCTACACAGCTTATGAATCCAGATCCGCTTAACGGACAAGATTAAGACGTTTGCGCATCCAATAATGTCAATGGATCCGAATAAAGATGTCAATGGATCCGAATAAGGATGTCAATGGATTCAATAATGTCAACCGCAAAAAGAGTTGTGAAAAGCAACAAAAAAAAATGGCAAGAGCTCTCACTGCTCGTAAAGGACTTGTGATAAGCAGTTCATGATCGAAGTTGTGAGAAGAGAAAGGGCTAAAATCACATGTCATAGGCATGAAATCTAATGGTACGGTGCAAGAATATCCAAGATGATAAACGAAGTGATTTTGAGGTAATTGGACTTAATCCCTGTGATATTTAAATTAGTAATCAATATCTTTTTCGATATAAGTTTTTCTAAAAAAAATAAGTTACGAAATATCGAGGATTAGGTTTTATACATTAATTTAAAAGTAATAATTTGTAATCGTTCCAATATCTCTGTCTTTATATTTTGTCCACGTGAGTGACGATTTACTTTAGACATTTATCCGTAGACCGGGTGAATTGGACCTTCTTCCTTCAAAGTTAATTTTCACGTGATGTTTATGTGTCATATGACGATTAACTGTTAATATATTCTCTATCAATCATGCAATTTAAATGATTTTTTCTTAACTTATAAACCTCGTCAACTCTCTAAAAGAAGAATTTGACTGCCTGAAACAAATCAGCCAGTCAGTCAGTCATAAACACCATAGCAGCAAAAAAGAGGATCACAAAAAATGCTACAGGAAATGCATGCTTGTGACAAGAGGCCTCAAGATTAGCAGCATGATATGGTGATGAACAAAAAAAACCAAGAAAAACATCCTGGTCACTGAAACAATACACCAAGATATATATCATTCTTCTCATCAGAGAAATTCGATAAAATTGAAACAATCCAGAGAAGATACACATCACTCAATTTTCAACCCATACTATTCACATCTGAATCATTATACCACAGGTTCTTAAAGTAGAGCACACATATCACACAGAAAACAAAGACAACAACTACTAGTATGGAATGTGTTTTCCCATGCCATTCCTTCACTATCAAGTTCAGTATTGCGCCTGCATGTGTCACAGTTCTTGAGATGAAATAGTTAATGCTGATGCCTGTAAGGTATGAATTGTGCATATGCATCAGCAGGGGATCAAAAGATAGTGATGTATCATGCTGTGGTACAGTACACAACAATACTTCAATACATGGATCAGGTAGTCATCTTAACCAGTTCCTACAAAGCAGAAGATCAAAGTTCAATAGACCAGCACAAGCTTTTTTGATTTTTTAGCTCCCATTCCAAAGAGTCAATTAAATCATGGGAAGCATTTCAGGTGGGACTAATACTTCACTGATGGCTGATCAGAAAAGTTAGAGATCATCAGTTTTATTTCCAACATGAATAACTCCAGATTTAGCCCCTTCTGCTGCCGGTAAGCCGTCTCATATATAAATGCACCAAGACATCCAAAGTCAGTAATATCAGCAAATAACAAATTCAAAAGACACTTTGTGTGAATTTCATCCTAGCAAACTAGGAATTATTCAGTTCATCCACATCAAATGTTGTAAAACACACCACTTGCTACAAAAATTTAAAATCTAATTCTCACTAATCAACAATTAGATGGTCTTAGCATCCTACTAAAAGCATGCAAAAGGTGGAATTCTTTCCTACTGACTTTGCATGACAATTGCTTCAGCTAAAACAATCTTTCCAGCCAGATGACAATAACTATGACCCTTTCTATGTAGAGTTTCCTCATTTAACTTTGAAAGTACTATTAGCACCATTGATAAATTAATCACACATAATAAAAAATCATGAAAGATATCCAGTAAATTTGTAATACTTAAATTGCTGCTATACACACTATCTTTTGAGCTAAATCTACTAAAAAGAATCTTGTTACTCAATTAATGTAGCAGTAACAACAACATTCCCCTTCTCTGACTTTCTATTCCTATACCAGTGCCTATTTCAATCCTTGATATCCTTTTGAATTCACCACAGATTCCAGAAATAGTTATGGTTTTTACCACTTTTAAGCATCATTTACTAAACCACACAGTTACAAAATACCTGAAGCATAAGAAATAGGCTACATTCTTATCTTTCACCCTTTAACTGGTACATGTTCTCATGCACTACTCATATTTATTAAAGATGACTTCCTCAACTTGTCTCTGGGTCACTCCATATGTGCATCAAGCTCTTCATTCTGATGTACAGGAGCTATACTTTAGCCAGCAGACCACATCACTTTCTGGTTTCAACAATCCTCCTTTAGTAATTCATGGAAAAATCATTCCTACATAAATATCACAATGTGATTCTTGAAAATGTTAGGATCAATACTGGAAAACCATGTCTTCCATGTTGACCTCACTGCAATGAGTTAGAAGAACTCTCCAGCTATAAAGGTATATGTCAAAGCCAGGCATACACAATCAGAAAATTCCCAACACAAACTTCAACCACATAAAATTATCCACAAAATTAAATGTCCAATTTCTCGTCACATAGGCAAATGAAACAAGTTAAGAGAAAATTGATTGCAACTTCACTGAAGATTTAATCATTTAAAGAAGCAAAATGTTAGCAATAACATGTAATAAAATAAAAAATTATCATGAATATGTGAGGTCAAGATGCCACTAGACTTAAATGCATCACCACAGAGAGACTTCCCAACATCTGAAAGGGTACAAATGCATCTGAATGATTCATAGCAAAAGATTAGATGAAAGATATAAAATAATGAAAGACACAAGTCAAATAGCAAGTCAAATAACACTATCAATCTCAGCCGGAAGGAGGAAAGGGAAAGCTCCTACATGATCCAACAAATAGATAAGAACAACAAACAGAGAAGCATAGGAGAAAAAGTGGATAATCCCTCTTTGGCAAGAACCTTTTAGAGAACTACAGTGATCAGAGTAACCAACAGACCAACCTAGTGGATAAGCCACCCATAGTCACACTGCAACTAAAATCCTTCTAGCTTCATTTCCATATCAAAAGCTGAATTCATCTAGAAAAACAACTACAGATCAGGGTTAAACAAAGGAAGACAATAAAAGGTCTTCTTTTGTCTCCCTTGAACCTCCTCCTTGGCAGTAGAAATGTACTAGTAGAGATAAATAAGCTAACTAATGAAGAGATCCATCAGGTATAGTGAACAGGAACCGATGTGATTGTCGCAGAACGCAGAGGCTCGGACGATGGATCAAGCTTGCGAGTTAACCTTCGGGTCACTGCCAGAACCATCGACTTGCTCGAGGAGTTTCCGGGCCTCCTCGTCGGCCAGGGCGGCATTCTTCTGCGCCTCCTTGGCCTTGAGTGCCTGCAGCTTGACGTGGTTGTAGTAGGCGACACCTAGGAAGGCGATGGCGTAGCCGAAGAGGTTGACGGCGGTGACGGCGTCGCGGATGACCGACCAGGAGAAGGCGATGAGAAGCCAGTCCTTGACGACGCCGGCGATGTTCATGGTGAGGGCCGAGGTCTTGCCGACGAGAAGGAAGACGGCGAGGTTGAGGGCGAAGGCGCAGAGGGAGTTGGTGCCGAAGATGAGGAGGTCGGGGCGGATGGAGGCGGCGGAGCGGGCGCGGAGGACGGGGAGCTCCACGAGGGACCATGGGACGAGGAGGCAGGCGAGACAGCATGGAGCGACGTAGTAGAGGGAGGTGATGGGGTTGAGGGAGATGCCCTTAGATGTGAGGAGGATCTGGATAAGAACGAGGCGGGTCGCCTCGAATGCGACGGCGCCGAGCTGAAGGGAGACGCCGGTGGCGTCAAAGCGGGCCTCGCCGTAGGCGGCAATGGCGACGCCGAAGGAGATGGAGAGCATGTTGAGCATGGAGGCGCTCTTGAAGGACTCCTTCTTGAAGAGGACACCGATGGAGTAGACGGCGACGGGCATGAGGGCTTTGAGCATCTGGATGAAGGAGACAGAGAGGTACATGTATGCGGAGTTGGAGAACCAGAGGGAGAGGGAGTAGAGGGCGCCGATGGGAACGACGGAGGAGAGGTAGAAGGCGCGGGTCATGGACGGCGACGACGGAGCCTCGACGAGGCGGAGCACACGGACAACGAGGAAGGCGATGGCGGAGCAGAAGGCCATGTGGATCATGGTGAGGCTGATGGGGAAGGGCCAGCCGTACATCTTGGGATCGAGGATGTACTTGTTGTAGACTATCACCGTGAAGCTGAGGAAGATCCAGATCGCCACATACGCGTACGACAGCAACACCTTCTTCAGCACCCCATCCGCCACCGCCGCCGCCCCTCCTCCGCCGCCGCCCTCGCGACGCATGATGCCGACGACCATGACCGCCTCCTCCTATTCCTTCTCCTATACTCGATTAGCTTCTTTGACGCGAAGCACAGATGGGAGAACGACGGAGAGGCGGACACAAAGGCGAAGGAATTTTTTTGGGGGCAAAGACAAAACAAGTGTGTTTATTTATAAAACAATATTTTAAGAATAAATCATCTTTATATATATATATTTTTTTTTTTTCAAAAAATAGATAATTTTGATAATAAATCACGAAAACGTTAAATGATATTAAATAAACTATTTTAAATTTTAAAAAAATTAATATTAAATTCCATTTTTTGAATTCATAAAATATATGGAGGGAGGGAGATGTATATGATATTTTGGGATCTTGAAGGGGTAGGTATCCTCCCCTATTGATATCCCTTAAGTAAATCTTGCACTATATGAGACCCAAATATAGTATTTTGTGATGTTGTGACACGTTACCTATTAATGAATTGATGTATCGTGACTGATGAGTCGGTACGGTTTGGTCCACGAATAGATGTCAAAAGTCTTCGGTCAGCTGAGCTAGTTGCCGAGGTCAATCACAGCGTCAGGACAAGATGCTGGCGTCGGGACATTAATTGGCATCTCTCGATCGGGATGTTGGTTAGCGACTCTTGGTTAAGGTGGTCGTGGCTCGGGGGTGGTTGTTGTTCTGCATAGAAGGCCCTCGTCGGGTGGTTATCGACTTTAGCCCCTCAACGAGTAAGTCAGTGCTTAGTTGGTTTTATTTTTTGCCCCCTCTCCTGGCCGGGTGTCAGCCAAGGGTTTTTATACTATTATACAAGGGTCGGCTATATGCGGGTTTGGCATGACGGCTGATCCTCGAGGGGCAAGATGGTATCTTTGTGCGGCCATCATCCCGAAACGAGACGTATCGAGGAACATCTTGGTACAGGTTTTGGCTCGGCATGTGGAAATGCTCCTCCTACTGACCTGACGGTGGCGTGGCATGGCATTGATTATGATGTGACCAGAGCCCAAAATATACCTTATCACTATCCTCCAAATATACGATAATAAAATATTTTTATTGCCAAATTGAAGAGCCGTGATGTCAAAATAATAAAAAATATTTTTAACTCGGATAACTTTAAAAGAGGAAAGAAAATGAATATTAGACCTTCCAATTATGTATTTTTCGGTTCACAACCATCGACATGAAACGAATGAATGTTCGATGAATCTCTACTTTAATCGATCGATGGCAAGATATAAATTATGGAATTATAAGAAAAAACTTGATTCATTGTTGCATTATAATATGATTAATAATAAAAGAAATTATAGTGATCAAAATCAGATCGAATCATTAATCGGTCTGATTGAATCATCATCGGATCGGATGAGTTGAAAATCTAAAATGAATTAATTCATCCTATCGGTTACTGAAAAATCCGTATGAACTCACAAAGGGGACATAGAAATGGAAACGCCTCAATCAAATGAATATTATCACCCTTAGAGTTTCCCTCAGCATTCTGCTTCATAATAGAGGCAAAGTGATATGGAGGAACACGAGAGGAGTCAAAATTCTTCGCTAACCTCATCACCGGGTTGCTGAAGAAGCCTTCTTGCTGAAACCAATAAAGCCTTGGATTTCATTCTGAAAGAGGAGGAAGAAAAAGGGTTGAACTCTATTCTTAATTCTATCCCCCTTCTTGTAGGACCACTAACAAATTTTCTAATACACATTAGATTTGCCAAACTAAAGCGAATCTTCTTTTGAGAGGACAGTACTGCACATTAGATGATAATGGCCCACCTACTTTATAGGGTAGAATTCATCTTGCCCAGGACAGGAGTAATGATACATCCTGTCAAATCTATGGTTTCCCAAAACAGTAGAGTCATCAAGATAGATAAGCATTTTCTTGTACTAATTTGGTTCGATTAATGATCAAGTAATCTAAAATTTGTTCGATTCAATCTTGATAACTATGTGTGAAAGAGTTACATTATCTACTAATGATAAAAATGAAAATCGATAATGTATATATTTTTAAGTATACATGATCCAATCAATACAGGTCAAACCGACCAAACTTAATTTAATGTAAAGGATACAACGTAGTCGTCCATTATGTAATTCTACACGATGGACTTTATCACAATCTTTCATGTGATTCCTTTGAACGTTAAATTGGAGGTCAAAATTATCATCTGTATTAGTGGTCTCTTTTTCTGTCATGAACTGTTTAACTCGACTGTTCTCTCTCTCTCTCTCTCTCTCTCTCTCTCTCCTGTCTTCTGGCCTTAGATTTATTGTGCTTGCTTGAGTGCGTTGCTGAGTTGGACATGTGCTAATGTCAGTTTCGGAAGCAAAACAAGAACGGAAGAAACATTATTATTTATTGAAGAAGAACTCGCAGATATACTTTATGTATGTCCAATGCTTACGAATATAAGAAGACGGCCATACATGGATGGATAATAGATGGAATATAAAGACTTACCACATCTCAACAGAGATTTTATCTATTTAGTTATTACAACTATAGAATGAGAGAGTAGGGACGTCCTTTAGCCTCTTTTTCTCTTTCTACTCTTGCTTGCTGTTTCCCCAAAGAACAGAGTAGAGGCCGATGACAATGAGGATCGCCCCGAGAACGCTGCACCCAAAGAGTTTTGTTGAGCTTAATCTCCAAGCATGGAAGAAACCGAGGCACAGCAGCACACGGAAATTTTGAGATGTAATAAACATGTCGTTCGTGTAATCTCACCCTCCTAGATAGATCTTTTCGTTGAGGAAGGACGCGCCCAAGATGGATACTACGATCATCCACAGAGGGCTGAAGGCTGACGCAAACACAGCCCCTCTTTTCTTTACCACCCGCCCTTCAACATAGTATGCGACGCTGGATGTGACGATTCCCTGCATGTTGTACTACAAATTAGCTGCCTTCTCCCGATCACAAAACGTGAGAGAGAGAGAGAGAGTAACAACGTAAGCAGCAGCGAGGAAGTTGATATCGAAGCCTATGGTCCAAACAGCAGGCTTGTGCTCCAAGACCAAAGTGACTACTGTAGCTTGCAATGTCCCCACGAAGTATATCCATGTCATGAGAGACAGCCGAGCAGAGTATTGTTTTAGGGTTTCCTCCTGTAAGAGTTGCACAACCTAAGCATTCAATTCAGTCGATGGAGGAGAAGCAATTATCTCATACCCGAAGGAGAGACAGAGAAGCCGAAGCTACGGTGGCCAAGATGTGGAAGCCGGAGCCTATAACCCAGTTGTTGCTGCTCGAATCGGTGACGGCCGGTGAGTTGGATCCAAGAGAATGGGCATGCTTGCTCCAAACCAGCTCCACTGGAGGTCCTTTGTAGAGTGCCATCAACATGGCGCCGGCAACGGTGGCCAGAGTCCCGACCACCTTCGCCTGGTGTAACACCTTCTTCAGATCCACCTTCTCCATCCTACCATTGCAATCGGTTACCTACTGTGATGGGGGGTCTGATACCATCCAGCGTAAGAAACTCATCTATTTGACTTACCTGGTAAGCACGGCCACCACGAAGGTCATGGCCGGCGAGATGCTGCTCATGGAGGATGAGAAGATAACAGATGTATGCTTCAGGCCGGCGTGGTAGAAGATTTGGTCCATGACAGGCCTGAAGCGATGTTAAAGATCAAGGAATAAGCTTCGTATGCAAGTAGGAAGATGGGCAGAAACGAAATACTGAGCCAAGAAGTCCCAACACAAATATCCTTAAGAACACCCACTTGGTCATCTTAGGCTGCACCTTCCTGTGGCAGCGACGAAAAACAAATAGGATTAAACACAGGATTCATATCACATAGTAGCAAAGCTGCTGCAGCTTAATACCCTTCTATAATGAATGCTAAAGGAGCCATGGATAGCGTGGCAAAAGCATGACTGTAGAGGATAATAACGTATTGGCTTCCCCCACTGCGGCGCGACGCGTTCGAGAGGATATGCTTTCCGGCATAGCCGAACTGCAGGGTGATCATGGTAAGGTAGGGCATTGCCCTCCGCATGAACTCGCCGTGACCACCCATGACGAGGTGAAGAAGAGCTACCAGGAGCTGAAACGAAGGGAGAAAGAGGATGCAGAACCAACACACAAGGAGCAAGCAGCCACACTCCTTATTTATAGTGGTGGTGTATAGGCCTCCAGCAACGGAAAGAACGAGATTTTGTGTAACAGATGGCGCAGCAAACGAGAGAAACGGGAGGGCGGAAACGTGAGAAACGAGAGGGCGAATCGAGAGAAACGAGAGGGCGAAAACGGCACAAATGGGAAGCGAGCTTTTGTGTCCCCACCGATGTAAAAGGATTAAAAGAAAGGGGTAAAGGGAATCGAATCCCTTTACTCCTTTCTTTGGAATCTTTCTACGGCTCTTTCACGTGGTACCGCGGCAAGATGCCCACTACATGGTTAGGAATTCCTCTTCCTATTGTCTTTGATATCAGATCTTATCATTCGGTCGGGTCTGTTCCAAGCATCAAAGAAAAATAGCCTAAGCCGAGCTTGTACAAGCATGGGTCCATCTCTACTTCACCTCGAGAAAACAGCTGAGGAGCACCAAGCAAAGTCTCAGTAGACAGATATCGAGATAAGAGATGCTACAGATCTGATTTATCAAAATCTCCAGATACTAGAATTTTATTTATCTCTCATTGTAAGTACACTCCATGTTGTATGTTGTATTCTTAGCATGATTTTCTGGTTTAGTTTTGGTTTTGTGCGAATGTTGTTGGTGAATAAATGTGTCGTAATTTTGGTTTATCTCGTCATGGGTGTACCGCGGCGAGTTCGTGCGGAGGGCAATGCCCTACCTTACCATGATCACCCTCCAGTTCGGCTATGCCGGAAAGCATATCCTCTCGAACGCGTCGCGCCGCAGTGGGGCAAGCCAATACGTTATTATCCTCTATAGTCATGCTTTTGCCACGCTATCTATCGCTCCTTTAGCGTTTATTATAGAGCGGTATTAAGCTGCAGCAGTTCTGCTATTTTGTGATATGAATCCTGTGTTTAATCTTATTTGTTTTTCGTCGCTGCTACCACGCCGGCCTGAAGCATACATCTGCTACCTTCTCATCCGGCCATGACCTTCTTGGTGGCCGTGCTTAGCGGGTAAGTCAAATAGATGAGCTTCTTACGGGCGCTGCGCTGTGGTTTCTATTGAATTGTATCAGACCCCCGATCACAATAGGTAACCGATTGCCATCAACATGGGGCCAGCAACGGTGACTAGAGTTCCGACCACCTTCGCCCGGTATATCACCTTATTCAGATCCATCGGGGTCTGATACCATCCAACATAAACCACAGCGCGCGTAAGAAGCTCGTCTATGCTCATGGCGGATGAGAAGGTAGGAGATATATGCTTCAGGCCGGTGTAGTAGAAAATTTTGTCCATAACCGGCCTGAAATGATGTCAAAGATCAAGAAATAAGCTTCGCAGCGACGACAAACAAATAGGAGTAAACACGGGATTCATATCACAAAGTAACAATGCTGCAGCAGCTTAATACCGCCATAGCAGCTTAATATTCGTTCCGGCGTAGCCCAACTGTGGAGGGTGATCATGATGATGTAGGGCATTGCCCATCCGCATGAACTCGCCGCGGCCACCCATGACGAGCCTGAAGAGGAGAGGCGAAGAAGAGCTACCAGGAGCTGAAGAAGATGCTGGCGTTATTATGCACGCCGCAGGTTAGGGGGGCTCAACATAATAACGCGTCTTGGCGTTCTAAGAATCGGATGCTGGGGTACTCAACGATGATGCAATGTGAGACACGAATCTTTCGCTTCGATTCTCAGAGGGCGTACATCTCAAAACGCGTTGCAGTTCTATTTTTAACTTGATACTTAAAAGGATATTCCTGTTGAATTCGGTACTTGGATTCTCAAATGCCATTTCAGTTCTATTCTTTACTTGATTCTTAAAGGGCATTCCTGTTCTCAAAAGATGTTCATGTTCTATTATTCACTTGAATCTCAAAGCGTATTCTTATTCTATTCTTCACTTTGACTTTTCTACTTGTCGAGGCATTGATCAATTCATTTTTTTGCTGGACGATTGCTATTATCGGAAGACCGGCTAAACTCATCCCCTCACTAAGACTTTAATCTTATTTTCAAACTTTATTAAACGATAATTAAGCAAATTATTATTACATATAATGTTATAAATCTTTTATGATATGTTTAGCATAAGCATGCAAAGAATCATTCGGTATTTCACTACTTTATAAAATTTTGTTTGGCACCATTCATGTACACAAAAATTCTCAATAATAAAAAAAAAAATCTTATTTATATATATTGAAGCTATAACACAAGTGGACAAAGGTCCGATGAGTATGTTATCATAATTCTAAGCATTTTGATTAGTAATTTAGATCACTTAATAAAATTTTGTTAGGCACCGTGTACACAAACAAAAATTTTCAAGAACAAAAGAAGATTGACTTATAAAAATTTAATGAATGTATTATGATAATTCTAACTTAAGTATTTTGATCAGTAGTTTAGATCAAATGAAGTTATAAGCCAAGTTAGCTTATCAAACCCGGGTCATGATATTTAGTATTAGAACCGACCTAGTATTTAAGTATGATGAGAAAGCTTAAGTAGGAAATGATTACTCATGAATTGAGTTAGAGAACTGGTCTCGATGTGGAGCAATCACTGGACTACATCTCACATATACTATGTTAGAATTCGATCCGAGTTATATTGAGTTTTGACGAGGATATCAAGCTAATTGAATGCATTATAACAATTCTAAGTTGAGTATTTTGCTCGGTGATTTCGACCAAACAGAATTATAGGTTAATTAACTCATCAAATCTGGATTGTGACAAAAGTGCCCGTAGTTTGAAGGATAAAATTCTAATACATAAATCATCCATATATTCGAATTTTAGCCGTAAAAATCTTATAAGATATAAAGATATTAATACATCAAACATCCATCATTTAGATCGAGATAAATAAATTAATAATATAAATAAAAATTACATATCTCAAAATCTACTTTTTAGAATTTAGATGTTATCAACATCTTTTGCACTTTATTTACAATTTTAAAAATATATCAAATGTGAAACAACTTCATATAATGCAAAATTAAATACAATGACAAAACCAAACAGAATTCAAAATACTTTAAAGCTTTACAATCTTATGAGTTTATTATTTTAAGTAAGAATGGTTAAAACACTTGTCACAACAAATGAAGCTATTTGAAACCGAAAATTGAATTGGATGATTTTAACTAAAAACATAGACCCAAAAACTCAATGTTTTTTTTTTAACGTATTCTTATTCGAATATAATGGAAGAAAGCTTGAGATGTTAAATAGTCATGTCCATCCTCAATGACCATAATCATCGTCACCACATCTTGTATAGGAAAGAAAAGAAAATTTTGATAATTTTCGTTATTCTAAGCATTAAAACAACATTGGAAGTGGAAAAACAGAATTAAGATTAAATGTCTTGATACTAGTAGCTCTAGAGAATTAACCATAATACATAGATTCAGTATCAACTAGCAATAAATAAATAATTCTACATCAACATCTAGAATTAGCTTAGAACAATATAAAAAAATCAAAGATCATTAAAACAAAATAATTAAAAGAGAGTTTATGAATAAAATCGAAAAGCATGCCATATGCTCTCCATAACAAATAAACTTTTAATTTTGGAGAAAAAAGACGTTAATATTCTTCTCAAATGTCTTCCACACTCTTCTCAGCTCACGTGAATATATAAGAGAGAGTAAAGTGAGAAAACTCTAAACTAACGATGTGGGACTAAAAAGAATATATATATATATATATATATATATATTATATAAAATATTTTTAAGGCTTTCCTTACGAAAACTAGTAAATATTCATGATAACATATTAATATTTGATGCATACTATAGATAAATCTAAATTTGACTTTGTAAAGTCATTCGACTCAATCTCTTTGATTGCCATCAATAATACTCTTCCAGAAATGAACTTTCCTTCTAAATTTATTCATTAGATTATGGCTTGTCTCTTCTAAAATATGAACAGTCAATAATTCGATATTGAGCCATAAAAGAAATAAGCCATAAAAAACTTGATTCTTGAAAAGAAATTGATTGATTATTAAAAATCAGAAAACAAATAAATAAATTAAAGAATGAAATGGGCCGAAGGCCGTGGGATCTGATCCGACTCGGCCCATATTGCACGTCCACTGGTTGACCTACGAGTCTCTTTTAAGCCTCAAAAGCTGATTTCAAAGCGACGAACCGCCACCGATCGACGAAACCGTCTAATGGCGTCGTCGCCGGCCGAGAGCCCGCCTACATCCGTCCCTTCCACCACCGATGCCACCGACTCCACGTCCGTCATCGCTCGCTATTCCAGCCGGTTCTGGAGGATCTTGAGGGACCGCCTGCACTTTCGCGGCCCGCCCCTTTTTGGCCAGATCTCCCGTGTCCACCGCCGCCACCGCAGGCGGAAGCACGGTCTCCCCCTTCCGATGCGTTCGAACGCTGTCCGGTCTTTCTCGTGAGCCCTTCGCTATATCCTCTCTTCGGTTCTTTCATAGCCGTCTTGCGCTTTCGAGAACCAGGATCCGCCTTCACTTCGCCAATAATTTGTGGAAGAGATTGTATCGAGATTCGATTTTATATCGTTTTTCTTGATGATGCGTTGCGACCGGTGGAGTTTTGTAATCAATGGATTTTAATATTAACCTGGTTCAGAATCAGTGGATTTTAGAATTTATGATTCATCCATACTTATCAAATATTTAGAAAATGAGGTCCCAAAAGACGAAATTATTTTGTTGAGATAATCATGTTCTTCATATTTTTAAATTTTATGATGCGCTTTATTTAAGTTAATATTCTGATGTATTCACATTATTGTAAGAAACAGTCAGAAACTGTTTAGTCGGCTAACCAATTTGAAGCTCCATATTGCAGAATTGCCGCCAGAGCGTCAAGGGCATCCTTTATGTTAGAAGACATCATGGAGTGTATATTGTGTAATTTGCATAAAATTCAGAAAAGTTTGCACTTTTGGCAATCTCGGGCTGAGGTGATTGTTGTGTTTGTTTATTTCATTGCTAATTTAGTATCACTTGCTTTATATGCTAGAAGATAAGAGTCACTTTAAAAATAATCTTGAGATGTTTACCCTTGTTCTTATTGATGTTTCTTCTAATTTTAGGGAACAAATGCTCAGAAGATTTATTTCATGATCTTTGAAAGAGGACCACGGGCCTTAATCGATGGGACTTATGAAATGTTAAGCAGACTTGGAACGAATGGATCTCCCTTCCAGCATTTATCTCATGCTGCATCCAATACAATATGTCACAATATAGCTATTTTGACCAGTCTACAGCACTGCCTGGCTAATTCTCTAGCACAGGTTTTCTGCATTATATATCTGTTTATTTATGGTTTTAGTTGTGGTAGAGTAGCATTTTATATATGTCTTGGTGTTGTTAGTACTGTTTTGTTATTTTTTCTTGTAGGTTTACTCGGAAGTTGACAAATACGGGGAAATGTTGATTGAGGATGCTGACAAGTCGTTGCCTCTAGTATTGGAAGCCATTAATAGCCTTTTTTTGAAGCTAGAAGCTTCAATTGGCCATGCACATTATATATACAAGGTTAGGGATTAACTTCTCATAGTTCATTACTTTGTTTCTTTTTGTTCATAAATAAATAAATAAATATATATATATTTATATATACACACATAAGATATATATATATACACACACAAACAGAATTAGTATGAATAAGATTTATGTTGCTAATTCTTTTATTTTTCATTCTGCATGTGATTATGGATAGGGTGACAAGTCCTTAGTGTACCAGAATGGCTCATCTGTACTTCACCTTGAGAAAATACCTGAGGAGCACCTAGCAAAGTCTCAGTGGACAGATATTGAGATAAGGGATGCTACAGATCTGATTTATCAAAATTTGCAGAGACTAGAATTATATTTATCTCTCATTGTAAGTGTACTCCATGTTGTATCATATACTCTTAGTATGATTTTCTGGTTTAGTTTTGGTTTTGTGCAAATATGATTATCCCGGTTATCAATTTCTTTTCTTTCTTCGGTCCTGATGCATTTGATGCTTTTTGCGATATTCATGATATTACCATTTTGGATGATAATGACATAATGTGCCATATCTTATATAATCTATTAGGACAGAAGAATTTAAGAAATTTCATATGTGCAACTGATTTTTTGAATTTTGACTTTGGTTTTTTAATTGGTCTTGTAAATTTTTTTATATGGTTAAGAGACATTTAAACCTTCAATTGTTAATTGTTTTTTATCATGTATGTTCTCGCAACAATCTGAAATTGAAGTAGGTGTAGAATTATTTTTACATTGTCATTCTATGGTGGAATTCTAAAATTGGTCATCTTATTGAGTGCTTTAGGTTTATTAATTCCTTCTAGAAATAGCAAAATAAATTCCATTGAGAACCTTTTCACATTCAATGTTGGGATGACATACCATTGAGAACTTTTCCGCATTCAATGTTGGGATGACATACTTTGCACATAAAGTATCCTGAAAATAAGGATCCTATTAACATAAATGTCTTCAATAAAGTACTGAGAGAACTAAAACTAAGCCAAACAACTATTTGTGAGTGTTAATAGGCATACTCAGGGAACTAGAACATGACTAAGCCGGAACATGACTAGGCAACTATTTCTAAGCTGTAAAGAGATTAATAAGTTTCTAAGCAGTAAAGAGTTTATGGACTTCGTGCTATTCATTATTTATGGACTTTGTGCTATTGATTATTTACCATATTGACTCCATCATGATCCAAAATTTCTGTGCAATGGGAAATTGTTTCTCATATTGACTCCAACAGGATCCAAAATTTCTGTGAAATGGGAAATTGTTTCTCAGAGGTTGTTTTACCAACTGAAGATGGATAGTGTGGTTCATATTCAAGATAGCTGATCTCAGGTCATTTGTCTCATCCTAATCAGCCCAAAAGTCACTTGTGTATCAAGAGAAGGTGAGGAGGGAGGAGGTAAAGGAGGAATAGAACCACCAGAGGAGACAAAGGAAGAGGCATGTCGGTAGGAGGTGTGGCTTAATGATAGGAGTGGAGGGAGAGAGAAGGTGCATGGGAGAAAGAGAAAAAGAGAGAGAATGCTGTGAGATGAAAAAAGAAAAAGAATGAAAAAAAGGCAGTTGTCTATTAAAACCAGGGATAATCAGAAAAATGGTTTGGTGTTACTTGGTTTTGAGCAAAAATATTTGCAATATTCTTGTTTTCAACAAGGGCCAGTACATGTGGTACGGTAATCATACCAGGGGCAGTAAGTCTAGTATGAACAAGTAACAAATGAAAACTGGTGGTAAGCATGCTGGTTAATGGTGAGATCCCTGACGCATAAAATGCTGGCCCGTACCAACTAGTAGGCCTTGTTTTTAAGACCATGCACACAATTTTTTGTAGATAATTTGCTCAGTGACTTCGAGGTATAGTGAGCTGCTGTCAGCCAGGTGGACAATACTTATTGTTGCTCTTAAGCCAAAGGATTATGGACTATGTTTACAATTAATGACTAACAGTTGCCAGTATCTAGTGATTGGAGATCGTTAGTCAGGATAGATAGCTGATAATTGATTAACATCTAATGGTGACCATTCAATGAACAATGATAATTAGTGATGGCTGACCCAAGAATGTCGATGATTAGCCATCAACGAGCCTGTGATGATGATTATTGATTGTCATGCAATGATCATCTGTCGATGGTCTTCAGCTCTTGACAATCAGCCAACAATGATCTTAGGTAGGTGGCAACGAGAATTCACTGACATTCTGTTAGCTTTCTGATCTAGCAAAGGCCGATGATCACGTTCAACAGTATACCAACAATTGAGATCATTAATTAATAATCCATAGGCAGCTAGAGATCATTGAACATTTATTTGTTAAGGCATCGATGATCACTGATCAGCAAACAACTTATCAATGCCAGAGTCTTTCGGTGATCAGCTTTATCAATCTCTTGATCTTCTAGTTATGATATAGGCTAATAGTTTGCTACACGACTGCTGATCACTAGTCACTTATCTATTTTATTTGATTTCTTCAACAACCATTTATCAATTAATGATATGTGGAGACCAACCTGCAACTATCAATTCCCTTCAATCATGGTTTATAACTATATATTATCAGACCATGGTTGGTGAGTAATTTGGGATAGACATCAAGTGAAAAAATGATTTATAGAAAATTTAATTTACAATAATATGCTAATAGATTTATGTTACATAGATATTTTACAAAATATTTACTTTAAAAATAATAATAATATATTATAGTATGATAAACCCCTTATTACGGTTTCTTCTCTCTTAACCGAAAGTCACAAATCTTATGACTCTCTCTCTCACATGCAGACAGCAGCAAGCAAAGGAAAGAAATGGTGGGCTCATGGGAAAATGTTATTTATTTTCTCCCATCTTGTCCCTGTTTCCTGTCCTACTCTCCTTATGGGGTTGCCATGTGGCAACCATCAAGGATGATGGTAGTGATGACTGCTATTGCCACCGCCACCACCACCTTCTAACTCCCTTTTCCTTTTTCCAACAGTTTTAAATCAGTTGTAATAGGCCACCAAAAACCTACATTCTTTGAGTCTGACCAGTTTTTAATGAGCTAACTCAGGTTTGAGATTGGCTCCTAAAAATCCAGATCAGATTGGGATTGGCCTGTTTGTGAAACTTGTTTTCAACCACCTTATGGACAAACTAAATATAGAAACTTCAATCAGAAAGTAAATTTTGATTTCAACTACAAACAAACAATCTCTTAATGTTAGTTTCTTCTACACTACTGGTTCAGATATTTGTGCTTGGAAAATAATGGTGGTAGATGAGAGTATAATATAGTAGATATCTCTTGGAGGCATTTCATTTCTCAATTTTCTTTTTTTGTTCGTCATTCTTACTTTGCATAGTTTACTGTCAAATTGCTTTTTCTATGATGAACTTTTAGTGACAATTGTTTATAATCTGTGCTTGTCAGCTTTCCACCTGTCAAAAACCAAAGAGATTGACATTATACTGGTTACGTTACACCTGCGGTGCAGTTGGCCTCACACTATGTTCAGTGTGGTTTCTGCGACATAGTAGTTTTATGGGAAGCCCTGACATAGACAATTGGATCCATGAAGCAAAGGAATCTGCAGCTGGATTCTTGAAGGATCATGTTGAGCAACCAGTATGCTGCATAAGTGCTTTTATACTATTTTTACTTCTTATTGCTTATTGGTATAGTTTTCCTGGTTAATAGTTTTAACTACAAACGCTATTTATTGTTCATCTTCACAGCCTGTTGAATGTTTGACTTGTTCTTTTATTCCTATTGTCTTATTCTTTTGCAAGAGTAATGCACTATTAGGTCTGGTTTGTGGTTAAGATTCTTTTCTTGAACTTAAGAGTGCCTCTAGCGAACAACAAAAGTCTCATCTGGTAGGTGGAAAACAACAGGAACTTTAATGGTGTCTCTAGCAAACAAAAGGCCATCCTCAAATACATTGTAGCTTGATTTAATTGTTTCGTGCTCGCCATAGGTAGTGAATTTTGATGTGATTCAAAGCTTCTTGTAGTTTCTTTGTCTTCTTCCACCCTATTCTTTTTGTTGCTCTCTCTCTCTCTCTCTCTCTCTCTATCTCTCTCTCTCTCTCTCTCTCTCTCTCTCTCTCTTCTCCTTTTTCCTGTACTATTTCTAATAATTAATAAGCTTAACACTAGTTTTGCCTCAGAAATAAAACATCTGTGGTGTCTATTGTATGGTAAAATGTTTAAGTGATTCTTGAGTTGATCTGTGGACTTATGCCATCTGGATTCGTGAACCTTAATGGTTATGCTATTAGAATAGAGACTAGGATATATAAGAGTCTCTGTTACATCTTTCAAACTTAGATCTTGGGAGTTTTTTATTGGTTTTATGGGCTGAAGCTTTTGTTGTCTTGCTTAAAGAGTTTTTGTTAAATACAATGGTAACAATGAAGTTTAGCAATCATGATGGCTTTTTGGTTCTCACCTGGTTTATAGCTGACGTGTATGCATACACATACATATACATACAAATCCATATATATACATATATATACATACATATACATATATATACATACATACATATATATATGTATGTATATGTATATATGTACATATATATGTATATATATATATATATATATATATATATATATATATATATATATATATGCTAAATCTTTCTAATCTCTCATGGACTGCTGCTGCTATTATGAGATATTCTTTATTTTTCTAATCCTGTTCACAATCTGCAATTGCAGCTTATTTCCATCAGAGATGAACTTTTTGAAACATTTAGGAAGAGACAAAAAGGTGTGATGGAAATGGAAGAGGTGCAGTTGACTGCTGATTCTTTACACAGGTTAAATTTTACTATTTTAACTTGATCTCTGCATATAACTGATACCACAAAGTCACCTATTTAATCAATTTCCTAATTTTTCTTGATCATTCTTTCCCCTTCTGGTCATTAATTTTCTGTAAGAAAAGGTAAATTGTCGGTGAATTTTCAAAATAATACCTACTATTATGATTCTTTATGAATATAATTTCCAAATGCTTCTAACATGTTTTCTTTACCTTATTAAACCTAATGTGAGCTACCATTAGCCATTTATTCATTGCTTAGTTTGTTCCACAACTTGCTACTGAGTCTCCTTCAGAATCTTTAGAATGTTTCTTTCTTTTCTTTGGTTAGTGTGGCAATGGAACCAAAATTGCTATTATTTGTTGATGCTTGTCTAATTGATTGCTGGATTATTAGTGATCTGCTGTAGAATTTTCAGGATGTTGTTGGCTTTCTGTGAGCAAACAAAAAGTCAAAAGCTACCAGAGAATATTCCAGATCAAGAAATGTTGGAAATAGTCATGGCTAGGTAAAAATATCTAATCTTGAACTACATAATGCTGCTTTATGCAGTAAAATTGCTATATCCACTGTTTCTGATGGCTAGTGGCGACCATTTTCTGCATCGACTTTGTCATGCATAGCAAATATGGTTGCTCCGAAGACAAATAAATGTCTACGTTTTTTTGTTTATCCATGCATCTGTCTGTTTCTTCCTTTTTCTAAACTATTTGTCTTCATATTACATGTAGTGTAATGGAATCTCACAATATGTTTACCTTATTTGTTTATCTATGCATCTGTTTGTTTCTTCCTTTTTCTAAACTATTTGTCTTCATATTACATCTAGTGTAATGGAATCTCACAATATGAAATCAGTCCCTTCTGCTATATTGTTATAACATATCAACATGGTTTTGTAGTCAGTGGTTCTTAATCAAGAAATTGATAATATATTATTTTTTAACAGCTTTCATGCCTTATTCAGCCATGCTGAGTATTCATCTTTAAGGTTCTTAAATATTGGTAATGACACGGTTAGGCATGATATATGCTGTGCTGGTGGAAATTAATCCATGTCCATCTATAAGCGCTCTAAATACTGGTTAGTTCTGCCATGCTGCCGAGATTCTTGATTTTCATTGTCATCATATTTCCTTGTTGTCTTCCACTTGTCCATTTCATAGTTCAGACACAGTTATTAAAAACTACTTATGAAGAGAGGACTAGGAGCAGCAATTTGATAACCCTATGTCATCTTCCAAAATAAGTTTCATGGTATACGGTGCATATTGGTGTTGGTATTCCTTGCAACCATGCATAAAGGCTCTTTGATGCAGAACAAGTAGTCAGTTCTACATTCTAGGTTACTGAAATGTGAGGGAAAAAAAAAAAGGATGGCCAAGTGCATGATGCTTTTTCACTTTGGACGAATCTTTCTTTACATAACCATAAGGTTTAAGTGTTTAAAAATGTTCCATATCACCACCGGCAAGCCACTTTGTTATGATCTTGCACCCAGAAAGTTAATCATAGTTGTCATATGTGACTCAGGTGTATGTTTATCATTTTTTTTCCATTTTCTTGCATTTCTTGGATCATTGTTTACAGAAGTTTTGAGTTTGTTAGGTCTCTGTATCTTAGTGTCTGTGGAACTTGCCAAGTAATTGGGACCTTACAGAGTATTATTGCTGTCATTGTGGAACACTGAAGTCGACATAAGGAGGAAAACGGTTCCATGTTGAACAAGTCTAATTGAGGTTGAGCATTCTTCACATATTGTGTTTGAGATTGATCAAATGAGCTCTAAGTTGCTCTTCGACATGGATTTGAGTAATAAACTGATATAATTTGAGCTCAAATTTACTTCAGATCAAACTGATAAATGAAATTGGGGTTCTTTGAATCTGGTTTAAATAAATATAAATTCAGCAATCATCATATACCATGTACACTTTAGCATTCTAAGATATGACTGGATGCTTTTGGGATTTGCCATCAGGATTATATACTTATTTATTTGTAAATTACGCTATATATCAAAAAGGGGATTCTTTTAGCAAGTATTTTTGTTAGAAGGAATATTATACAAGTAGAAGAAATTCTGGACACCAGAAGGACAAATCATGAATTTGGAAAATTCTAATGCAAACAAAATATGCAAAACCAAGATTTACTGGGTTCCAAAACTCAGGAAAAATCCTTTTACACTAAATGCCATAATCCTTAACTCTGAACTGGAAAAGACACTTAAAATCACAGAATATTATGATTTTTACTGACACCCAGTAACAACTGCAATAATTAATTGTCTTGTTCAATTGCCTGAAAGATGCTTCTCAATCTATTGGCATAATGTTATAGTTTATTTGTGCTTATTGACTTGTTTGTGTGCTAAAAGTACTCTATGCTTGTAACAATTGTATAGCTTATCTGAAAAGAGCAAGCTTGAATTTTTTGCATCACCTTTTTGAGCAACCACTAGTTAATTTATTTCTGATGAAAAATTTGTTTGATTTTACTCCCTCACATTTGTGCTCATCTAATCGTTGCTGGCTTGCTTGTTCAAGCTGTTAATAGTGTTCTATATATGTTCTTCCAGATTAACCAGTAGATGCTTTAGTGCAGATATGAGAAAGAGGTGATGCATCCTCTTCAAAATCTTTTGAGTGGAGAGCTTGCTCGAGCAATGCTTATTCAGGTTTCTTTCTACCCTAATTTAAAATGACTGATCTGAATGTCATTGCTTATTTTGTCTGTGGACTTGCAGATTCAAAAGCTGAAACTGGATCTCGAGACGTAAGTTGAATCATTTTTGTTCGGATGTTCTGATCAAATATACACTATTTTGTGATGTTGTGACTGCACTAAAGGAAAACTTTCTATACAGAGCAATGCTTGAGCTGGATCAGATTCTCAGGGCAAATGAAATCAATTTTGCTGTTCTTGCTGCTCTGCCAGCCTTTTTTCTTTCTCTTGTTCTGCTTATGTTGGTCCGAGCATGGGTGATGCAGGTGGGTATCTAATGTTGCTAGATCTTTAGATGTTTTGCAAATTTCTTATGCCTAGTCTGTTGAGAACCTTGTTAAGCTTTATGAAATCTACGTCTATGAATTACTTTTTGTGCTTTTTCGAATGTGCTTAGTACAGGTTTCACTTGATGAAATTTTATTATTCTTATGAAGGTCACCTATCAGTGAAATACATTGTTGTCTGTTGTTAGCCCACTTGAATTTTAATTGCTGTAAGTGGACAATATTAGGATAAGAGTGCAGAAGGCAGAGGGAGAGTTGCTCGCAGGCAAAGAAGGCTTCTTGTTGTCGAAGTTGAGAGGAGACTAGTGCAGTTCCAGACTTGCATGGATCAAGGAAAGGTAAAGATGAACTAGTATTTCAGGTTCTTTAGATTGCTGAAAATTCAGTTTACTTTCTGTTGGGACATGAGATTGTTTCTTATGAGTGTTTTTAGGATATTGTTAGGTTGAGATCTGATGCTTCTCATCCCCTTTTAGTCACTAACAACTGATTTATAAGTAGGACATGAGATTGTTTCTTAGTTGCAGCAACTTATGGATCCATATGGGTCCAATCCTGTCCACACCTATATTGCTCCAAGATTATACAAGCTTCTCTCAAGACTATGATTTTAGATGCAGTTCAACAGCTACATAGAAATTATTATTCCTTGTAAATATGAACCATTTGTTTTGCTCAAACATGACTGCTAGAGATTCTTTTCATTATTCCTTTACAAGTTACACACGAGCTATCGACACAACTGAGTAGCACACCTGTATGGGTATGTATGACAACGTTCATGAATAACGTAAAATTTTTTAGTTTTTTCACTGTTGAAATCATAGCTGATATTTCACTTGGTAACCTCATATTATTTACCAAAGAAACATGGATCATGTAGTTTATGCCATTTTTATTGGTAAACAGGAGGAGGATGCTCGATGCATATACGGAATGGTGCTGTATAGCCTCGATCGCCTGTACAAGGCGGCGGAAAGGCACGCAAAGGAAACAGGCGAGTGGATGAGGTTAGCGTCGCTTCCAGTAAATTCCATACTGCATCTCTTAAAGATGTTATTGTTGTGAGTAATTCTTGTCACGTTGCAGCTTGCAACAGGATATACTAGACTTGGCCAAGCCCAATCTTGAAACTATATACAAGCTAACTGTTACTTCAAGAATGGGGCAGATGTATGATTGCTTGCTTCCTTCTTCCAAACGGCAGTAGTCATTTTCTAATCTTCTACATTTCAGAATGAATTAAATTTGTTACTTATATATATACATACATTAGCTTGTATTATTATTCACGAATGAATTAAATTATTATTATTTTTAATCCCATTTTGGCATGTTCAGGTGACATTTTTCTCGATATATACCTTAAAATTGTCGCTCATGAATGAATGAAGAACATTGTCGAGACCTATTTATGCATATGAGATTATTCTGTGACTAGTAGTAGTATGCATGTTTACGGAGTTATTTTGACTTTTACTTATTTTCACCCGTTGACAAAGTCAGAGCCCATAAACTCAATTGTAAGGAGACACTTTTCATATTTTTCAGTTTTCCTATCTTGAGATTTTAAAGATTTTTTTGACTACTAATCCATTGAAATTTTCTAATATATATTTTTTTAAATGTATCTAATTTTGTATATATGTCAAACTCCATGGTTGAAAAGGAAAAAAGAAGGGAAAACATCAAATGCATTAATGACACACTCAACTGCCCTCGCCACCGCTTCTCCTCTGCTCTGTCTCCGTCTCTCTCTTTCTCTCTCCACACCCCCCCACCTCACACCGGCGCTGGAGATTCATTCCATCACCTGGGGTGTGCCGCCAGCGGTATCAGCTCCGACAGCGGAGTGGCCACGGGCGTCGCCGCAGCGGACGGCACCGGTGAGCTGCGGCAGAGCGGACACGTGGCGCTCACCCTGAGCCACTCGTCCACGCACCCCGCGTGGAAGCAATGGCCGCAGTCCGGCGCCCGCCGCAGCACCTCCCCGCTCTCGTACTCCGCGAGGCATATCGGGCACGGTCCCGGCGGCGCCAGCGCCCCGCCCTGGCCGCAGGCGAACCTGGGGTAGAAAGCCTCGATGACGGGGCCGTCCAGGCCCACCGCCGTCACCACCACCACGGCGGCGCTGCCGTCTGGCGCCAAGGCAGCGGGCCGAGCTGCAGGGGGTGGGCTGGGGAGCGGGCGGTGAACGTCGCTCTTAACACGGACGCAGAGGTAGGAGGCGAGCAAGATGGTGGAGACGAGGACGAGGATGCCGACCGCTATGGCGATGCCGTATCCGAGGCCGACCCCTCCGGCCGCAGCCGGCGCTTCGGCGAGAGGGGCAGAGAGTGAGTCGGACGACATGGAAGCATATAGCAGAGACAGTGAGAGAGAGAGATAGAGAGATGGAGATTATTTGAGGCGGTTGTGGTGCAATAAATGAGTGCATGGAACTTCGCCAATACTTCCTTGTAAATGGTCACAATGAAGGGGAGAGCGACAAATAGCCGTTTCCAGTGACGCTTTTGGCCTTTTAGTTAATGAAACTGTAGGTGTAGATTTAGTGACAGATAATTGCATTGGTTTCCTTCCAGTTTATTAGTCTTAGAACTCTCACAATGACAACAGCTTATCTACAACGACATGATGTCAGGAAGGAAATCATTCATAAAAGGATTATCATAAGCTAACTCTCATTGTTGTACTTTAGGAACAAACAAACAAACAAACAAACAAGCATTTTCTTTCTTATTATTTCTTTAGAGGCATAAGGGACACTTACAGAGCTTAGAAAGAATACAATTAGTGATATCTCAACCTGCCCCACAGGTCTGGAAGGTTAGGAGCTCCACAATTTCTAGTCCAAATATACAACTAATCTGTGCATCTGCAGTGATAACCAAAAATTGGCATTAGTCACAGAATCAATCATATTGATGTGCATATTATTTTAACATGTAAATTTTTTGTTTCAAAGAATAAAATGAAGATGAGATTTGAATCCATAATCTTACAATATTGTATCAAAGAATCTTATGATAGATATACTATCAAAATCTTTTCCCAACCAGACTAACTGACATATTGAAATATATCACTTCATAGTATTAACACTAGCAATTGGTCTACAAAAGTCGTCACGCATTTGGCCATGCATATCAGCAACAAAAGGGAAGAGATTACTCGTAATTTTCTTTTAATCAAATATGACCACAATCACAGAGAATTCAGCTTTTCACAGTGCAATCTTAATCATCTGATAAACTTGTGTCCACTTTCTAGAACATCATCTTGAAAAGAATGGGCCTCATTCGGTTGCTCACATTTGAAAATCTCGTAAAGAAAAGCATATCATCGAATGCATTCACAGCTCAGAAACCATGCATAAGTATGTGTTCGCTGTTTGTGTGTGCATCTGCACCTAACTCTCGAGTTAATTTTGATTCTTTTTTTCCCATACAATAGATGATTTTTTTTTGAGACAACAATACCACTTTTAGCTTTCGTATGATCTCTATATGCCATGCCCTGAACATATTACTCTGTGAAGAACTTTCCTTCCAAGGCTTCTTTGCCATCCTAAGCTGCCGCAATTTGTGGCAACAACAAGAGTCCAAATCAAGCAAGATGTTGTGCACTGTTCAATATCTGACCATCTACAAACCCTGCTCAAGAAGTTTGAAATGCTTCCCAAATACTTCTCGATCCTAGTGTTGCATAATTTTTGTCAAATTGGAGTAAAATCAACAAGGGCTATTTTCCATTGCATAGCTGCTCTGCTCGCTTTATTGGTTCTTGGAAATATTGCAGGGATATGAAGATGGCCTCCTGAAAAAAAAAAAACCATGAGAAAGAATATAAAGGCATAAATATAGAAGTGATACTGCTTCGATTTCAAGAGTTCTTGTACAATGGGGAGATACCTCAGTCCTTATGGTTCTGCTTCCTTGAAGAGGGCATGTATTCAAGTAAGAATTAAATACATCGTGGACATTCTTTCCCTGGCAAATCATTGCGAACATGAATGCAATCATTGACTCATTTTTTCGAATTAACAATTACCATGAAGAATACAAAAACCAACATTTTTGTATATAAATTCTGCAGCTTATAGGCATGAGTAAAACATAGTTTTGCTTTTCTTAAAAAATAAAAACAATTATCATGAAGAAAATACAAGCATGTTATATATTTTTGCAATTTCTATGGAACATCACACCTACAAAAATATAAGATTGGTTCTTATATGCAACATCTGTTATATGATGAGCAGTATAAAGGTCTGTTTGGCATGATTCAGGTTTTTTATTCCATCATGGATGTGGCTATGCAAAACCTTTGATATAATGATGCAAGCTCAACTTGAGAACTGGTAATTTCATAGGTGATGCAAGGAAATTCCTCTTGGCCATATGGTCCAGAAATATGTGAGATTGAACTGTTTTTTATTGATCCTTTAGTCCAACAAGAAAAGAGAATTACTATACACTGAAAAGAAATGGGAAAGACAAAATTGACTAGTTTAGCTAGAACTACTATGTAGCCATCAAAGAGGCAAAAGAACAACATAGAAGAAACAACAGGGTCACATTATATGAGGATAACCCAGGCAAAGCTTAAGGATACTAAAAAGCAGCAACTCACAGAAGAAGAAACAATCAGAAGCACATAACCAAAAGGTTTGAAGAAAGTCGAAATGATGAAACAGGATGCCACTGGTTACACTCTCCAAAGGATTGATGAAGTTGGCTCTTTGAAACATAAGAGAGAACTGGCGGTAGCATCACTCGAGGGAAATAAAGCTATTCTTTAAATAGGTATCAGGTTCTTCTACTTTAGAAATTAATGCACCCTCAATATGATCTTTGACTTGTCATGACTCTCAGCAAGTGGAGCAAAACATAAAAATTTGCGATGTAAAACCCCCTATAGCAGCATGAGATACACCAATTCCCAGATCACATGATGGTCCCAAGTGAACAAAGGCAAGGTACATCTCAAGAGAATGGTTTACAGCTCCAGCCAAATTTAGGGAAATTTCTAATATAAACATTTCAAAAAAATATTTGTACCTTCAAATTATTATCTTCTTCTATATTCTCTTCCAAACCCCCAAGTCCACCAAATACGATCAGAAGGTGCCTGTAGAAGTTGAAGCCAGTATGGAAGTAAATACAGAAGGGGACAATTGTCAATATTAGATGCATAAGAATAACATTGTAATGTCTTTTCAAGCAAGTCAGCATAATGATGAAATTTGGCTGCTTGATGTGAAGATTGAAGGATTTATACAAAAGCTACAGAGAGGAATCCATTCAGAACAACAGTTAGTCACAGAAAACATACCTAAATGAAGGAATTACAAGCTCTGATGAAGCAACCACAAGACCATGCTCTGAAGTACCTATAATATGATCATATCCACCCTACAAATTCAAAAGTGAGAATCGTTAGGAGAACATGGTTCCTTATATGAGCTTAAGGATATGAAGAGCAAGAGAGTTTTTCTTCTTAGTTACCTTATACGGGCAGTTTCTGATAACACTGCTGAGGTTTGAACAATAACGAACTTTGTACCCCCAATACATACCTATTTGGTCTCTTGGACTGGAGGAGTCAACTGCTTTTTTAAAACCATCTAGACATGTGGTTAAGGTAATAATCAGGACTAGCACTAGTTGTAGCAAATCAACTTGCTTATTAAAGAAGAAGGAAGCACGTGAAACTAAAGAAACCAAATACCAAATCACACTACAGATAAACCTCATCTTGGCAATATATCAAGAGAAATAAACAAATTACTATACCATCCCACTGTGCATAACAGAAATAGCTGCTGGAAAAAGATAAGGTAGTTCGACTAATTTTCCATTGCACAACTCAGAAAAAAAGGCTTATCAAAAGAATGAAACCATTAGAATGCTTGTGTTCACAAATGATTATAAAATGAAAGCTAAACTGCAAAATCATTTCCGCAAACATTTTCTGTTGTAACAAATTTTATAGGATTATTGGGCAATGATTTCCGATGACAATTTTACAGCATGTTAGCTCAAAGATGTCAACATCTACAAGCTAACATTGCATTGGCCATTGACGATATGCTTGGTGTTGCAGCTGGCCATAGCACCAAGCAAGAGCAAGTCGCTACATAACAAGAGACAGAATCAAGAAAGCATAGGCAGAAACAATGGCTGAAGCCCAGTCAGCTTGGTCTGCATAGGCTCATCTTCACATGTAAGAGTGAGGATCCAGGTGGTTTAGATTGGGCCATTGTTGTGATAAATAGATTAAATTCATTAACAGCTACACTGTAAGATCTATTAGACTATTACCAATTTCAGATTATTTTCACAAGATAATGATTACTTGCTCACTTATATTTATTTTTAATGACTCACATGTCATTAGACTCAAACAAAGTGTAAATCAAGCTTCCTTAATTTAATAAATCCAATTATCATGCAGGTAGTCTGCAGTTACGCATACAACATACATCTTGTTCCTAGTGAATACGAATTTCATTATATGCCTGACCCGTAAATGCAAATTGCTAGTCCTGAACTGTTGTGACAATTAGTTACAAGGCATACTGCATGACTTCATATCTAATTATAATAATGTTGATTTTCCTCATAGATATGTCAATTGTCAATGGCATATTTTGTGGTTTCTAATTTAAGGATTGATTTGTTAAATTTAAGTAATAATCTTTTTATCTCAATGAACAAGTTTAAATATCTATGCATAGCATCAACATTATCATTTTTCATTTTTGTTTGAAATTAATGACTTATAATTAGACAAGGCCATGATGCCATGATAAGATTACCCTTCTGTGATCAAGGTGACCAGTATTCAAGTCTTAAGAGCAGCCTTCTTGCTGGCAGCGGCAAGGCTGCATCACATTGACTCTCCTGTGCACTGGACCACCCTTGTAATAATGTCCAATAGGTTTCTGGTCAACGATCAAGCAGTAGATGTTATCACTCTACTCAGATTTCAGATTTCAACAGTTATAGTCATCTTTTTGTGTTTTGACTTTGCCTACCTTGATAGTAATTAGCTTGCAAACCTAATGTGAAAGGTGAAGACAACACAGAGAAGGATGTCTTCTCACATTCTAAGCCAATTACTTCTCCCATCAACTCTTACCTGCATTTTTAATGTATCAGTACATGACCACATACATGAGTGTGTAGATAAACACTTCACTTTTCATAGATTAAAAATACATGAATGAGATTCCAAATTCATGAAAGGATTCTCAAAGCAAAGTTGCCTTCACCGGACCTCTATTGGCAGCAGTCTATAATAAAATATCTTAGGATTCAAGTGACAGCAATATATAATGCCAAGAAAAGTTTAGATTACTTTGTGAAACGAAATTGTAGAAAGAGAAATTGAGAATAAAAACTTGCATGTACTCTCCAGGCCTTAGTTTGGTCCATTTCCTATCATGTCACTTTCTGCATGTCATGTTCTTTAATACTATTTTTCTTGAACTTGTGATGCATTATTTAGTGCACCATTTCATGAAATGGCACTCGAAGATACAACACCAGAATTTTTCTTGGTTGTTAAGCATGAAAACAACTGACACTTGCCAACAGATCCACTAGCAAGTGAGCTGGTTAAAAATTTTTGCTATAAACATATGAACTTCATGCAAGACTTTAAAATATATGCCCATAGGCATAAAAGTTATGAATCTGCATATCAAAGAATGAATTGAAAGAAGTAACAGAAACCAAAATAATTCCGCATAAAATGTTCTTAAGAAACCATTTACAGACATATGTTCTTAATAATATAAATCACAACTGAATGAAGAAAATAAACAATCCACTTTACCTATTTCAGCACCACGATTGTCCCCCATTGCTACAGTTATTCGCTTTCCAGGTTCTAGAACTTCCTCAATCACTACATTCTGTGAAGTACTTCTCAAGTTAGTTCTAATCCATCAAAGTCTTTGCACAATAAAATGTCAATCACATAAAGACAAAGAGGGATTGTGAACAAGAACGAGGCACATTTTTTAGGACAAGGCAAACAGCTCCTCAGAGGACCTCTGTACTACAGTTACCAGGCTTCTTGTATCGCAGACCAGTCCCTTCTCAAACTGGTACACTATAGACTATAGAGTACATTACCAAGTACAGCTGTTGGTCTGGTCAAGTGTGCACTTTTTAGCTTATTTTTCAGTGTTTAGTTCTTTTGAACAATAACATTAAGTATAACACATATTATGATCAAATTTATCAACCATGATCATAGTAATGTATATATTATGCATAATATCTCAACAAAAATAGTATATAATAATGAGTCATAGACAATCATCATAATTAAGAAGACAATACATGATAGCCAATGAGTCAAACACAATATGTAAATCTCAAAGTACTACAATCCCAGACTATAAAAACATATCAAGGTCGTGTGGGGTGCGACGTTTAGACTTTAAAGACACCAACATCAAAATTGTAATTCTGATTATTGTTTTCGTAATATCTGAGGATCGGTGTTTGAGCGCTAGAAGTCTCATCTAAATATTGGACTGGGCCTGAGATTGGTTGGCTGGCTATAGGGTGTATACAATTACACATGTAGCGAATTATGCTGATCCCATATTTGACTAGCATCAAACCCCTTACCAATCAGTACCAGCCACATACTGATCAGTACCTTAAGGTTCACTATAATATCATGGCTTATATCACCTAGCATTTAACGCTTCATGCATCAATGTGCCATCGAAATGATATGCCAAGCAGTACAAACAATGGTATGAATAATGAAATTGCAATTTATGACTATCAAAATGGATGATCAGAAGATCTACTCCTTAGCATGCTATAGAATAATGAGTGGCTCAACAGGGATAATAAAACGCTAATGGAAACAGTCATCGGGAAAACTATTTTTGAAGATATCACAATGCACAGTGCAATCTCATAAAAGTTAGAAGTAAATGTACAATGGGTCTCCAAGGCAAACATCTATATATGTAAAGTAGAATGTCAGAGTTAATAAATCAGGAAGATTCAAAGATCATGTCAAGCTTTAAGTAAAACATTATATAGAAACTTCTAAATGAAAAATGTTTATAAGCTCTAAGGAGAACAAACCTTATTTAACCCTACATCTACAAGTGTGCCCTTTGAATTTGGTGGATTCACATCCAATGTGACACCTGCAGTTATGTTGGGAAACTCATTTTAGGTCAACAAGTCATCACCTGCCAAGTTTATCTAGAATAGGAAATTCTAACATTCAATAGCACATAGATATAGAAAGAAACCTACATCTTAATGCAGGACAAACATTTGCAATAGAACAAAAACAAATTTGACAAAAGATGTGTATGAAGACTGTAATACCTCCTTTGCTTCTTTCTTTACTTTCGCAGCACCAATATTAATTAGGTTCATCCATAAAAATCCATTTCCACACATTCAAATTTTCTACTTTCTCTAAAATATAGCCAGCAAGAATTTGGTAACAAGTTCAGGAATGTAAGCTTGGTGAACATGTCTCCAGATTATCATTAGTTAACACTAGGAGAACTATTTTTTGGGTTTGATCATTACAAATGTGCTTTTTTGTTTTTTCATTTCAGGAGACCACTAATACCATATGTCACTGAACAAATAATTAAATACGCTAGCAAAACAGAAGGAATCTATGCAACTTTAGAGGAAACAGGAAATATCTCATCAAAGAACAAGACAAGCAAAACACTATAAAATTTTTAGTTTCAAACTCCATTATAAGTTTCCTCATCATAAAATTCCAACATTTTCTACCACTCTTTTTAGCAGTCAATAAATAATTCCACTAAGAGATTTAATATGCTTGCATATTCAAACAGGATGAAACAAGAAGCAGAGGAAACAACTTCACCTTCACGAAATGAACACCATTCATGTTTGCGCAGGTGATGAGGGGCATCTAGAGGAGGAAGCAAGCCCTGAACCCAAAAATAAAGGCTCAGACAGAAAAATATTCAAGTGAAAAAACAGACTTTCAAGCATCAATAAATATCTTTGTCAGTACCAATCTGTTCTCACCACAAATTTTAAGCTCTTGTGCATTGGAAAGAGACGGCGTCGCAAGTACTGTGGTGTTTCCAAGTACCGTAGTATCATTGTAAGAAACTCTGCACCACTTTCGCTCTCATTCCCATCATGCCCTGGTCTAACCACTGTATCAACATCTGATGATGCTCTATTGTCAAACACTACAACCTGTTTAAACATAAGGAATCTCCATCAGAATAGAGAGTATTTATGATCACAAACATTTGAAAACAAAACCACGATCCACCAAATGTTCCTTTTTATTCATTTGAAAAGAAGCACTATATCCTGAGAATTGGTCACAAGGCTTCACAAGGTCATCCTAGACAATAGGTGGGTTACAAGAGACATTGAGAATATTCAAGCCCACAGGCCACACAAGGCAACACACGACCATAACGGTGTAGAAAATTATGCAAGATGGGGACGAAACCCCAGGCCTCCGAGACAAAGAGACACAGATGCCCTACCATCCAAGATAAATCGAAAATTGACAAACAGCTCATGCGCAGAGTTCAGTTTAATCGTAAAGGCAATTCACTGCTTTGTTGGCCAGGTAGCTATTACCATGCAATTCAAAATGCACAAGAAGAAAGATTTGTTTAGCAGAGAAATCCTGACCTCATCGATTCGGAAGATGGTGGCCGCACGAGCAACCTGACCTGCCAACTGAGTTAAGAAGAGGGAGGTAGCAAAGAAGGGTCGGCGACAACAGAAGGGCTTCGGATATTAAATCAATCGAAGGGTTCTCATGAACAACATACAAGGGTGGCAAGCTCAAGGGACTGGGCGTTGTCAATTATGAAGCCGGCAACAGCGATGCTGACTGTAGGATTCTTCTCCTCCTTCGTCGTCATCCTCGTCTTACCCTCCTTCCTCTTCCTCTTCTTCCGGCTGCTGCTCTCGCGGAGATGACCATCAGTCTCAGCAGTCTCCAATTCCATTGTTCGTGTCGATCACTTCTCCTTTCGACTCGTTTTCGACCACTCCTTGCGATTTAGGGCGCGGCGTCGAGGCGAGGGTTTTTCGAAGTTGCAGAGGTTGGACCCTAACGTTCCGGTCGGGTTGAACCAATACGAACCGGAAAAAGCCGACCGGTTTATTCTGAAGCAAAGAACGGTCTTCTTTGACCAAAATCTCACGCGCCGCCCTACTCCATCGCCGTCGCCGAGCACCCGACGCACCGCTGCCCAACCTTCGCCGGATTTAGGCCCCCCTCGCCGACATGTCCTTACCTATCTTCGCGAGAGAGAGAGAGAGAGAGAGAGAGAGAGAGAGAGAGAGAGATCTTGATGGGCCAAGAGTATACTATGGGTCGAATTGAGCCCGTATTGTTTTTGGGCCGCGATTTGGGCTCTAGCTTTCAGTGTTAGTCGAGGTCTTGCTGCCGCCGCCATCCACGTGAATGGTTTATCTGACGCGAGGTTACGTCACCGTGCGGGGTCGCGACAAACCGACCCACATTCTGTCACCCGAAACACCCACAACCACACGTGTCTCCGACTAGATCCCCACTTTAGAAACCGGCGTGTGGGTCCCCCTTAATCTTCTGGTGAGACGTGCGTTTTAGCTGTACTTAGTTATGACCACGCACATCCACAACCTATATTATACCCTGTATTACGATCCTAGAATCCAGCGTGGGCCCCCACAGGGTCCATCTACATGGGAAAGAAGGTTGCCTATAAGGACCAAGTTTGCCGCATCGGCTTCTCCAGCCACCGGGACACTTGCCTTCCTCCTCCGTTCTCCGTTCTGTATTGACTTCGTTTCATCTCCATGACTCTTCTTTTGAGTGATCATTCTTTGTCTTCGTCTTCTAGTGTTATACCTTAGTTCCTGTTTTGTTAGAAGGATTGCGGTGGCGCCGGAACGGTCGGTTTTCGGTTTGAGATCTCGAGCTTGGACAGCTAAGGAAGCCTCGCCGGTAGCATGGCGTCCACCTTCGTTGATGCTGGGGGAGAAGGCAAGGAACAGCAGCGCCACCACGACCACGGCCCCGAGTTCCACCAGCAGCAGCCGGGAACTCCTTTGCCACGGACCTTTAGGAGGACCAGGTCCTCCGTTTCCTCCACTGTGGCCAAAGTCACGCCGTCGGCCGCGCCAAAGTGCGTGTGCGCTCCGACAACGCACGCGGGGTCGTTCAAATGCCGACTCCACCGAGTCAGCTCTCACCGCCGCTCCACGGCATCGTTCATCGCCTCTCCTAATCACCAGCCGCCCACGTCTGTTTCATCCATCCACACCCCTATTGCATGAGAGCTATCTGCTACACTTGGCATGTGAGACTTCGACTCTGCAACAGCCCGAGAAGTGCAATGAAAAGAGTTTGCTGCAGTGAGTTCTTAAACGGATGATGAGAAGCTACACAACAAAGATGAAGACATGAGCTGAAATTTGAAAACACAATTAGAAGGCAGTACATTACGTTTCAATACAGATGCAAAGCCTTTAACTCAAGAAATGTATCAATCTCTTCTGTTGCAACTGTAATCGGCTACTATGAGCAGTCTGTATCGACAAGGATAACAAAATTATATGCTAGTGTCCTTTCTGATGGTCCAGAGTTCTTACAAGGTCTCCACAAAGATATATGGCAAACCTGTCCTGTAGAAGCTTCCTGCAAGTTAGGAATCTTGACAGCAGAACTCTACTGTCCCAGCTCTAATCCAGCCATGCTCAAGACGGTCATATTTCGATGCTTCTGCGATTCTCATTTCATCTAGTGTTATACCTTAGTTCTCGATTCAAAATGAGTGCATAGAGTAGCTCATTCCATGTATCTGGAACCCCAGGTAAGCACCAGTGGCTGCAATCCTGCTTGGGGAGAGGGGCAGGTCCTGAGGAACCAAGGTAGAATACTGATAAATGGCCATTTCTCCTTTGAGCTGTCATCTCAGTTACATTCAGCCAACTCTAGTGCCTGATTCTCAGTTGAATTTGCCAAGGGCATGTTTCTAAATGGTTCCAACAGCATCTTTCCACCTGCTGGATATCCAATCTAGGACATCCAGTCAAACTGTAGCCTTAATTTGCTCCGGTAACCCTGGTGGGGGATGGCTCTGGAGAACCAGAAATGGTGACCTGTAATACTCCACAGTGCAATTGTATTCTTCAAATTTGAAAACCAAGAAGCCCATATGTTTTGTAATTGGGCTATCATTGACTTCATAGATCGAGCTCTTGTTAGAAACCCCCATGGAAAGCATGCAGAGGAGGGACTCCCATTGGTTCCTCCCTATCGAATCACCAACAAACACCAACCTTCTGTTCCTTAGTTTCTTCAGCATCTTCTTTGTTTTAAATCTGGCATTGAATATGAAGAAAAAGATTTAGAATGATTAAGTAATTTTACATTATTACATATAATCTCTATCTAACAAACTTCGAATTCAATTTATTGATAAAAAATTATTAAAGGCAAAGTGAAAACCAGTAGAAGTAAAGTTGTACCATTACATCTGCACAAGTATCACCATGGCAATGGCTCAATAACTAACCACTTTCTCTATGCAAAGGCATAATGCATATCTGACTTCACTACTCATTGCTAGTGAGCATGCTTTGCAATGAAGATTGATCTCACCGGAAAAGGGAAAAAAAATATCAAATTTCATATTTTCAGAATCTAAATCAAGGTTTTTAATGCCACCAGCACAAACTGCTGGAAAATGTAAATAGGCCTCTAAGCAAATAGTGTAGCTTCTGCAAGCAATCAAGCACATTCATGAAAGTTAAATTGCCACAAACATTTGCAAGTGTAATTTTGGATGACAACATGGAAGGCACATCAAGCCAAGAAATGAGAGCCTTATTCAAAAGCCTTAGATTAAAATGTCAATGACACCTTCAATGGTACGACTGCTTTTTAGTGACTGAATTTCCTAGTTCTCAACTGCAATTAATTAGTAATGTACTGCAATTATATGATTTCTCCTTTAAAATGAAGGATAAGACAAAAATTTGGAAGATTCAAATTGAATTACGAATATTTATAAAGGTAAACTTCTGCAATTTTACATGATAAATAATTTCTTGCATCAGTGCCAGGAAATTTTGGAAATCAAGTTCAGAGTTTCACCTTTCTATTGATAAGTCAACCCTTGTTTGAAATATATCCATAAAGAACTGACTTGATTCTAATCAAGTCAAAGAGAACTGAATAATTATTTTTTTAGCAAAATATTGAACTGAATTCTTCTCAGCTAAAGTGTTTCAAAACTATCAAGAAAATAATTTAAACTATTAATGTCCTCATTCCAAATTACAAATGAATATTCAGGAAAAAACTTTAATTTGAGTCAACATTAGATGAATTTGTATTATGTTGTAACACCTCAAATCTTTAATTTTGACCAAACATACCTTCTTTTGTACCGATATTTTAAGTCAAATAAGCAGTATTTGAAATCAAAATGACTCAAGTTGCAAGTTGTACCCTGACACTGCAAATCTTGGTATAATAGATACATGGACCAATAGTCATCATGTCATCCAAACCTTAACCTATCAGAGTTATGATAGGGTCCAAGTCAAAAAAATTCAACTTCTGTCGAGTTGGGTGTTACGATGAAAAATTGACACGATCAAGACTTTTTCCTCAACCCCTGCTTCTGCTCAGAGGATTATCCTGAACCTGGTACTAATAGCCAAAATGGACCAACCTACAAAGACCTGGTGATCTCCACTCAAACTGTCTCAACACCAGCAACTTCAAGTGATACATACATGAGTTGGACTGCCATGACATGTATAATCTCCTTATTTGCATTTCCAATTATTCTCATTGAATTAGCTAATTTATAATAGAGATTTGGATCCTCCCAATTATTTCCCCTCCTTTAACACTCACATCCCAGCCATATGTTCCTATGAGCCCCACCAGTGACATCAGATCAACCATCACCTGTAGCAATAAATGGCAATGGTTGGACAGTGAGAAGGATGCGTGGTGGAGATGAAGAATTGAAGGTGAATTAAATCTGAAGGTGAGTACCATAACTCTTTTAGCGAAGATCACAGAAACAAAAAAGATTGCTTTTTTATCATTAGCTAGTGCTTCCACACCCATCTCAAGGAATACCAGATGAAACCAAAAGATACTTTGCATTAATCCCACCAACACCAGTTGGCGGCTAACAATTATAAATGCACCGACAACAGAAGGCGACATGCAATTTCCTAGTTCATAGTTTGAAGAGTGAAGAGTCACAGCGTGAAACCAAAGTTCAGTGTTCTGATCTTCTCTGTCCTCTCGGCTTAATAATATGGAAAGATAGGTAGCAAAAGATGTGGCTAACAAAGATCTTTGCAACTAGAAATTAGACAACAAATCACTAAAAAAGTTCAGCTCGTGATCGAAGACAAATCGTAGAATAACAGAGAATAAGAACGATAGAGCAAAACGAATGGAGTTGGAACCTGGGGAGATCGCAGCCAGCGGGCTGCCACCGCCACTTGGTGTAGAATCGATCGGACCGCCCGTTCTCCGAGCAGCGGAAACCCTCGTCCCACACCCACTCTTCCTCGGACCAATCGCATTCTCCGCCGCCGCTGCCGTCGCTCCTCCCTCTCTCCACACCGCCGCCCTTCGTCCGAGAGACCCACAGCCCCCGATACCCTCCGCCACCGGGCCACACCCAGCTGTAGTCCGAGTGGGCGGAGCAGAGCAGCGACAGGAACAGAGCGGCGGTGAAGACGACGAACCCTAGAAGGCCGACATGCTCGAAGGGCTTCACTCGCCTCACCAGCCGCCGAAGCGCCTCCATGCCTGCCCCTCCTCCTCCCCCGCCTTCCTCCCTACTCCTCGCAGGCGACCTCGGCAACAGCAGCGACGAGTTCCTGGCAGACGAGACGCGGCCCGAGACCTCCATGAGCACTTTGGACCTTCTTTTTGCGCGTGGGCGTGAGAAACGGAGATCTAATCTATTTTATGGAATAGAATAAGTTGGAGGAAGGTAGGTTGACGTCAAAGCAATGCAAAAAAGGCCGGCGGCAGGGAATACAGGCATCCATGGCGAATGATCAACTACGCTTCTCTTCATCCTGTCAAAGCTCACTCTCTTCAGTCTCGTCGCCATTTGTCTTCTGTCTTCTTTTGGCGGTCCGATGACACTTGTGCGCGTCTCCCGACAGCTCGCACGTGAAATGAGTAAAAGAGAACGGTAGAACTCGCTCGTCGTGAGAGCGGATCTGGTCGATGCATGTCCAAGTCCGATCTTAGTCTGGTCGGATGTGATGTTGGGAACCATGTACGCACCATCGTTGGATATCCAATCAATTACCTTCTGGTTGTGTGGTCAATAACAGACACGAAATGAGCACTACAGCATATATTTGATGTGGCCGTCCCAGCCGAAGCCTCCCCGCCCGATGCTCCTCTCCTTCCCGATCGCTCTTCCGAAGATCTCGCCTTTTATTCTCTCCCCCACCCTTCTCTCACTCTCTCTCGATCTCGATCGATCGAAGGTAGGCTGCGGCAGAGAAAGGCAGGATTTAGGATACGAGGTTAGTTTTTCCTCTTTGGTTTGATTTCTTTCTAGGATTCTGTCTCTTTGAAGCCGTCAGCATTCGCTTTTAATGTTCGATTCTTTAGCGCTGGGTTACAATGTTGTTTCAGAAGCGGATTAGCTTGCGCTTTAATTGTTTGTTAACTTCTTTGTCGAAGCCTAATTTGAAATTGAGGTTCTTGAGTTGATTCTGTTTGTATACTGTGTTCGATGTGTGGGTAAGTTTGCTGTGGTGGTCGAATTCGGATACATTAGGGTGGTTTTTCCCTCTCATTCTCTCTCTCTTCGACAGAACTAGGAAGACTCTGTGACGAGGGAGACGCTGCCGTTGGCTGCCTAATTCACTGTCGCATAACAATAGCTTTGTCCGGGCATCCGATTAAACATGTCTCAGATGGATGAGCTTCAAAGGAGTAGGATTCTCAACTGCGTCCAGGCGTTCTGTGCTGCAAGATATACCAGGGAGGACAACGTTCCATGTCAGATTGAGGAGGTAACACGAGAGCAAAACGGCAATCGAATACGAGTTTATTAGCTTTTCTAAGGATTTAGATTTTGGAACTGATAATGATACTTGGATATCTTTGCCGGCTTCAATTGCCTCAGGGTTTGTTTCTGGGTTCAGTTGGCGCGGCGCTTAACAAGTCAGCGTTGAAAGACTTGAACATCACCCACATCTTAACGGTGGCCAAATCCCTGGACCCTGCATTTCCTATTGACTTCGTCTATAAGAAGATTGATGGTATGATGAATTGTTCTGTGCATGTTAAATTGGTTGATTACATGACCCACAACTAGAAAGTTTCTTGATTAGTGCCATCTTAACATGTGCTTTAATATGAATATTGGGTTACTGATAACTAATATCTTGCTTGTATCCGAGAACTTCAAATTTGTCTATTTGTTGCTTTGGTGGCATTAACTATTGAGATTCAACGCTTGACACCTTCTGTTATTTGTATTTGTTCTGAAACTTAATTTCTGGTAATTTTTGTGTTACTGTTTCAGTTCTTTATATTAGTTATATTTTTGCTTTATTGTGAGTCCTCAGTGTTGTTCAAGAATTGCTATCACTAAATTTTGTGTATGATTGTCGATGCTACTATGATCCCTGGTTTTCATCCTGAAGACTTAATTTTATTTTGATTTAATAGTCTCTATTTGGTCTTATTGAAAGTAAAGAATGTCAATTAAAGTTTTGTCTGCTCCCTGAATGTCAAGAAATTTGAATATCTAATCCCTCAAAGACTGAATATTACTTTGAAGACTGAATATCAAATCCCTCCTGCCTTACTTTTCCTTTCTTTTCTCTTGTTAGTAGGTCCAGCAAACCGAAAGCTCCTTTCTTGATGGTTTGTTATCAGAGTTATCATAATTGTTGATCTTTTATTAATTAGAATTGATCTTTCTATACTCTTCCAAGACTGAATAGATCTCCTTTAAAACCATGGAGGAGTGTCTGCACTATATTAGATAGGATTTGTAACCATGCTGGACTGGGGCCTTTTGCGCTGAATTCTGCTGGATTGACTCATCTAAGGGTAGCATCAAAGTGTCCTGAACTGAATTGTACTGATCCAACCAGTAATTTGGCCTTTGACCTTTAAAAGAAGGCTAAATAGGACCGCGTATGTTCTGGCTATGCCCTGAGCTGGCGGAAGATGGTCTGAAGTTGGGCAATATTGCATCTAACTGTAACCTGCATTGTTCAAATCCAATGTGTTTCCTATTGTTGCAAGTCAGGTTCTTCCATTTGGCATCATATTGAAAAGCTTTCAGATTCTTGCCTAAGCAAAAGTTCAATTCGACTGTTAAACTATAACATAGAGCAATTTTTTGAAGCCTGATTTCTTATATATAGTCAGATCGTATTCATATTGATTACTTGGTAACGATTACACAATAGATCTATCACCAATTAAATATCCGCAATTTATATCTTTCAAATTAGTTCTCTTCTCTTGCTTATGAAGGTTGTTTTTGCTTTGATTTCCTTATCACTAATATAAGGAATCTAATATGCCCTTCTTGTAAGGATGATGCAAAACATAGAGATGTTTTTGTTTGCTATCCGTTTAGGGTGATTGCCAGGGATTCTCACTCGTCTGCAGCCTATAATTGGCAGCAGTAAAATGTCAAGAAGTTCTGACAACACTTTTATGTAATTAAGAAATAAGTTTTCTGAAACCAACATTTGTGCATTTCTTTTCCCTTGATAAATACACAACTTACTTTAAGTATATAAAATTCTTGGACTAATTCTTTTCTTCTTTTACTGTATCTAGTGTTTGACACCCCAGGCACAGAGTTGGATAAGTATTTTGATGAATGCTTTAGTTTCATCGATGAAGCTAGAAGTGCAGGTGGTGGCGTGTTGGTTCATTGCTTTGCAGGAATGTCAAGAAGGTAAGCTTGTTGTTTACTGCTAAGCTGGTTTTAAAATCTTTTAAATGAAAGCACTATTTAAAAGAATAATGGAGTGATTGATTCAAAATCGCATTGTGAGTTTCAAACTCCAAGGCCTTTTATAATTTTGCAGGAAGCTAAAATCCGGATGAAAAAACAGTATTTTCATGCCTAAAAGATCCGGATTCACTTGTATTTATTTTTATGAGCTCATAATGAGACCAATTATTCATCTGAGTATCCTCAAAAGTCAAAACAACCAGCAAGATTGTGGCAAGCATATTCAAATACACAATTTTATTTACATAATTCTTCACAATTGTTTAATATTCCTTAATGCATAACAATGGTGCAAATATTGATTACAATCAGAATATAAATGTAACACTAACTTGATCGACCATCTTCATTGAAGACTATATACCTCATCATTTCCTAAAGGGTCTTAATCATCGAAGAGTAGTATTAGCTAAAAATGTTCCTAGTATTTCATCTCAACAAGTTAATCAAAATTACATGATAAAGTTCTGGTTGCATTAATATATAAGTTGATTAATCTAATAGTAATCTCCAAGATAAAGTATGGGCAGGATTCAAATCCAAATCCTGGTAAGAAAGCATTACTGATAGTGGTTCCTTTGAAGATTCAAAATTGTGCATATTCTCTTTTTGGTTCATTAATTTACTAGGACACATCAAAACATATGTTGAGTTTCGAATGTTCTATGAGATAGTTTTGGTTGGTGTATGATCACATAGGCATACTGTAGTTAGGCTGCATCTATAGTTTGTGCTACAGGTATTTGTACTAGGTAAGTAGGTATTATATTTATATTGATATGCAATATGAGGAAGTTAGTCATATTTGGGTGGCTATTCTGAGTCATCATTGTTTGTGATTTTCATTTTACATATAATTATCATTTTAAGCGGCTGCAATTAGCATCAGAGCTCCACAACAATTTCATTGTATGCAATGTCATGCATCCTTTTAACTTTTTAGATGCTGCATTATAATTCTTATATGTGGTGTATGGTTAGGTATCTTAACAGGAAATATGTTTTTTGGCATGCTAGTTGTTATATGTGATATTTTTTGGGCCGCAATCTTGAAAGTCTCTGGTTTGATACCAAATGCTGTGGGATTAAATAAAGAATAAATATTTGGAAATCTTCATTTTGTGGCGTGGAAGTTCTAAATATTTGAAAAAATATAATACTTACACATTTTGTTTGGTGCAATCAACTAGCTGCTAATAGTTATTTTACAGTGTCACTGTTGTTGTTGCTTATTTGATGAAGAAGCATCGGATGAGTCTTTCGGATGCATTGGCACTAGTTAGGAGCAAGCGACCACATATAGCCCCTAATCATGGTTTTCTTACTCAATTGGCGAACTTCGAGAAATCTCTTGGAGGTAATATACAGTTACAATGCCTTTTGATTTAAAATATTATGATTTAAGATATTGTTCCGTATTATTTCTATTGGATGTTTTGGACATATAAAATAAGAATTAGTGACTTATGAAATATTTGTGTTCTTTTTTCCTTCAAGATGTTTCCATTGTTTTAAAATTTTGGAAGCTTTAATTTTCTGCTTTCAATAATCCTAGGGACAAAAAGTAAGACTGTGATGGCAGGATAGTTGAGCAGAATGCAGGTGCTATTCCACATAAATAAACTCATATGCACCACAATATTTTCATTTTTTGTTCCCAAAATTTTGATGCAAGAAGTTTCTATTCATTGTTAGAAAAAAAGCCATACAGGGCTTGTGCATTGAAATCTAGTTCCTTCTTCTATTTTGTTATTTGCTTCCTACCATCTGGATGAGGGTGCTGAGTGATGCCTGTGCTAATTACATGCTGGCCACATAAAATTCTGTACATAGTGCTATTTATCCACTTTCACATCAGGCATCACAAGAGGTGGCATGGACACAGTAAACAGTCTGTGTTCATATATAGTATACTTAATTATGCATAACTAATTGTTTATCTGAATGTTTTAACATAACTGTTCCTAAAGTTGCTGATCAATTTTTTTCATATTAAACAGTGAATCGAGGCACAAGTTCTATCTAAGTTGATCCAAAAGTCAGCATTCGGAGGTTAGATTTCTTTTGGGACATTTTGTTTGTCAGTTTGCCCTTTCACTTCCTGAGTACTCTATTATTGCTCATTGGTGACTTGGAGGTGTACTTATGGTGGATATTATAACTTTATTCAAAAAAGTTGTTTGTTTGAAGCCTGATAATTACATCCAAATCATATTGCTAGTCCTACTCTATTTATGTGTCCAGATAACTATGCATATTCCTTGTAATATCTGATATGTGATAATTTTCCAAGTTGACTATATGGAGTTTCCTATGTTTTGATTCTAATTTTAGCTTTCTACACCGTGTGAATGAGTTGATTTGTCGGGATAATGAAAAATGATCATGACCTTGATAATATTTTGCAAGCCTTAATATGAAGTGTTGGGTTGGATTTTTTTATTCCTGTTGTGGGTTGGCTGACAAACTCTTGTTGCTATTGAATTTTTATTTCATTATCTCTGCAAATGACATGTTCTATTGATGTGATTCAGACAGATTATCATACTGCAGGAAATAGGAACATGAGATTCGCAATGTAGGAAACTTTATATGATAATGTTGTCCATTATAGATCAGTACATGTCAAGGTAGTATCTATCTTGTATGTATTACATTTTTGGTTGCTGAGTTTGTTACTTTTCCACTTAATGACATAGTTTAAGTGTTTTAGTACATTCAAGAAAAATGTTTGCAGTTCTATTTGTCATTTGTCATATACCAAAACTAGGTAATTTAACTTATTTGTGTTGTGGTGGTCGGAGCCCATAACAAATCAAACATTATCTAACACCATTAGATTGTACATCTTCTAGATTTATCTTAACACTTCATTCAATTAAAGTAATTATGAAAGCTTTGTTTTGTTAGGTTACTGTGAAAGCTTTGGGAGCTGGAGAGTTCTCTTATCCAAGGATTTCTTGTACATGTCTTCAGAGAATAAGAGCATGGGATAGATGGACTGTTGGGACCTACATGCCAACACCGCAGGTTCTTCACCAAGAGCTATTTTCCTTTTCTACAAAAAAAATTCTCACATATACTAGTCACAGTATTGTAATATACTTGCTTTGATTGCATGACACAGTAGAAATCTGGCTTCTAAAGTGACATGATATATGTAAACAAAATTGTGTTCTTTTCCAAGTTCAAATGATAAACTCAGCACATTTGTATGTTGTGTGAAAAAGCAAACATATTCGCCATATTGTTGCCATCATAATCACCATTGCGAGATGTTTGTGATGGTAGGGGATTTCTAAACGCATCTCCCTTAAGCTGCTGTCATGACAATAGTTTTAGATTTTTATTGGTGCCATTCAAACCCTAATTGGAGTCGGTAATGTTGCAAGCTGGGATGATAAAATTGCTTTCTTGTCATAATCACAACTATTCTGAAGGAACTGAAGCAGCATAAATGAATGCAGAGCCTAAAAAAGCCTGATGGCAGGAGGTATGACATCTGTTCATACTATATTTAATCATAAAGTGATCTGTAAAACAACACAAATTACATTATTATTTTGAATATCTTTAAATGGATTTATCAACTTGTGCAGGATGGCTAGATGAAACCTATGCTCCATCACAGTTGGCATGAATACAGTGCAGGTCCCCTCTCTCTTATCTCTGATCTCTAATGTTTAGTGTTTTGCCCCGCGGACACGTCACAACTGATGTCACACGTCACGTCAGAACTCATATCCCAACCCAAGACACTATTCGACATGCCTGGTCCCGGTAATCCCGGGACGACAACGCCCTGCACACCAAGCTGAAATCTGTACTAATGTCGTGCTGTGTCCATCACGCCAATCCACATACGACCGATCCTCTCACTCCAGTATAAAGACCTATATCCCGACCTCCAAAAATGAAGGGGGGAAAAAAACAATACCACCCACAACTGACTTGCTTGTTAGAGGGGCCAAAGTTGGGAATCACCCAACGAAGGCCTTTTTTGCAGGGAAGCGGTCACCCCCGAGCCACGAGCGCCTCGACCCGAAAATCACCATCTAGTGAATGAGGGCGGGTTGTCACCTATCCCGGGAACGAAGAGACGCAGCTCGACGTAGACGGTGCTCGGACCAAGAAACGCTGACCAACATCCCGTCGCGAAGGCTCGACCTACCTCGGCGTCCAACTCAACCGACAAAGAACTCCCGACATCGACCCGTGGACCTAGCCGTGCTGACTCACCAGCCATGACACATTTGTTCACCAACATTTAGATATCTTAGAAAGATGAAGTCTAGCGAATATTAATTAATATATGCAAAGAATAAAAAAAATATTTATTTTAATAAAGAAAAAAAAAAAAGAACAACTCTCACCTGCCACTTCTCAAGAAGTGTCAGCATTTGTAGGCAAGCATACGATGGTGACAAAAGGAAGGATGGGATTCTTTGATGTGCAGGCCATGCATCCGTGGAGGCATGACTCGGTGGAAGGAAGGAGGGGGTTCACGGCAGAAGCGCTTGCTTGTTTAGGGTTGGGAGAAACCCGTGAGAGCGTGACTGTGGAGTGAATGCCACGGACTGAAGTGACTCACTTCTCCCTTCCTCCTCCTTATCAATGAAGCCTGTCCGAGTATGTGATCAGCGAGTTCAGCCAAACCCACCCCGTCCCGCGCGTGCGTGCGTGCTGTCTGCGGTGGCCACTCGGAGTAGCAGCTGCCACTCTGCTCACGAGGGCGCAGCCACGCCATTGAATGCCCCCTCCAGGTCCGCAACCCCAACCCCAACTCCACTCTCTGCTCCCCCTCCACCCACCCTGCCTGCCTGCATGCACGCACCACCGGTATTAATATGTCGTCAAGGTTAGGGTTTCAGCTGCAGCTCCGCTCCCTCCCTCCGCAGCCATGTCCCACATCGCCGTCGAAAGGAACAGGAGAAGGCAGATGAACGAGCATCTCAAGGTCCTGCGCACCCTCACCCCTTCCTTCTACATCAAGAGGGTAAGAAGACCACCTCCTCGCTCGCTCCTCTCCATGTTTCTTGATGTGCGATCACCGGTTGGTTGGTTGGTTGGTTGGTTGGTTGATCTCTGTGATGTGCGATAAGGGAGACCAAGCATCCATCATCGGAGGAGCCATAGAGTTCATCAAGGAGCTGCAGCAGGTCCTGCACTCCCTGGAGGCCAAGAAGAAGCGTAAGAGCTTGAGCCCCAGCCCCACTCCGAGCCCACGGCCGCTTCTCCAGCTGACACCATCACCGACGTCCAGCAGCCCCGACACGGTCAAGGAGCTCGGCGCCTGCTGCAACTCCCCCGTCGCGGATGTCGAGGCCAAGCTTTCCGGCTCCAACGTGCTTCTGAGGACGCTCTCCAAGCGCATCCCGGGTCAGGTGGTCAAGATCATCACCGTCCTCGAGAGGCAGGCGTTCGAAATCCTCCACCTCAACATCAGCAGCATGGAAGACACCGTGCTCTACTCCTTCGTCATCAAGGTTTTGCACCCTGCAACCAATCATCATCTTTCTCTCCTTCCAGAAACCGATCATCATCTTTTTGCTCCTCGATCATGAGACTTGTAGTGGAAGAGAATTCTGATTCCTTATACTTCCTCGATCTCTTGTTCTTGTTGTTTGCAGATTGGACTCGAATGCCAACTGAGTGTGGAAGAGCTTGCGTTAGAGGTCCAAAGGAGCTTTTGCGAAGAGATTGGGTACCCAAGAAGCTTAGGTGATGCATGTACTATAGATGATTGAATTCATACTGATCGAATAGAGTAGTGTATGAGATGCCCTCCTCGAGTATCTTATCAACAACAGTTACTTTGCCTGAACAAAAGACCAAAAAAGATAATTTTAAGCTATCCTCTCTAGAAATATTTCATAAAATATTTTTTTCCTCTCCTAACACGTATAAAAGATTATTTTGACGTACTAATGAATGTTAGACTTTAATTTTTCACTACATTGACTATTTTCATTTTTAAGCTCGATAAATTTGATTATTAAAGGGATCGAGTCGGGAAATCCTCTCCTTATGTAAATAACTCGGGTAGCCCAGACCGATCACCTCAAGAACACCTCATCCAATCTATACACAGGAGACTAAATTACATCCAGTGAAAAATAAATATATAAAATAACTTTTGCTTTCTCATTGTCTTAGTATTTGCTTGGTAGCTAAAGAGACTAAAGCCAAAGATAGGTTTGGGAAGAATCAATTATGGCTACTGGGCTGAACCATTTTCATAAATTATTAACATGGAACTATGATGCACTGAGTATTATTATATTAAATGAACTCATCCAAAACCAGCCCAAGAGATGCTGTGGTCAGTCCCAGTGGTGGATTTATGAAAATAAAGAATTTCATAGTAATTATATTCATATGATCAAAGACATGTAACGTAACACCCCTGATTAGTCCCACATCGAAAGTGGGCAAGATTAAGATTGACTTATAAGGGTCTGATGAGTGTACTACTATCAACTTCAGCTTAAGTATTTTGGTAAGTGGTTTAGACCAAACAAAGTTGATAGGTCAGTTAGCCTATCAGACCTGAGTCAAATGTAGCCATCACTTGCATAAACAAAATAAGTGTCTAGTGTGCTTCCTACACAATAAAATTGCTACAAAAATAATCTTACATGTTCAAGATTATCTTTCCAGTTATATCTAAGATGAACTTGCATGAAACTTTAAACTTGAGCTACAGGTAAAAAATCATAAGCCAAATGTTTGACGATACATAGGATTAATATCAAACACCTGAAGTGCAACATCAGCAAACTAGAAAATGAAGTATGAAAGCATACCTTTAGGCAGATCATCACCGACAATATTTGCTCACGTCCTGCAGAAGCATTTCGACCCACATAAATTGCACAACAACAAAAAGCAGCCGCTGCATAAGATGATCACCAGAGTTTATTGCTATCAAGACTAAAATATAATAACTAACCTCTTTATTTACCAGCTGACACTGAAGCAAGAGAAGATAAAACTTGCTCATTTACAATGAGAAAGATAATTGTAACATTCAGGAATACAAAGTCAACTAATCATCTAATGTATCACCGTTACTGTCCAACAAGAAAGAAGAAAAAACGATGAGAAAGATAATAGTAAATTTTTTACTCCTCATTTATAATAAGAAAGATAATAACAAAAAAAAATTTCATAAGAATGACAATCATAAACTTTTTTTTTTTTAAATTGGTATATCTTAGGTTACTAACTTAAACATTGGATGGATTAGATCGGGAAACTTCTTAAGACCTTGATCTTCATGAAAATGTTATCTCGGGAGCTTGAGGTTCTCACCTCAGAGATACCTCAAATAGTCCTAAGCATATGGGTTCATACTATGTTGGACTGCTTAAGATATTAATAATATTTTTTTCCTAACACATCATTTTCTTTTTTTCTTCGTATCATACGATTCTTAAAATGCTTGAAGAATATCGTATTGAGTGGAGTATTATTGAATCAAATCTCATGTTACTAACTTAAGCATCAGATAGATTAGGTAGAGAAACCTCTCATGACCTTAATCTTTGTGAAAGTGATACCTCGAAAGCTTAGGGTTCCCACTTCAGAGACACATCGGATAGTCATACGCATATGAGTCTAGACTATATCGGACTGAGTAAGACGTCAATAATATCTATTTTTAATATACTATTTTCTTTTTTTCTTCATATCATATGATGTCCGAAATACTTGAAGAATATCCTACGAGAGTATTGTTGAATCAAATCTCATGTTACTAACTTAAGCATAAGATGGATTAGATTGAAAAATCTCTTGTGACTTTGAATTTCGTGAAGATGATGCCACAAGAGCTTAGGGTTTCTACTTTAGAGACACCTCAGATAGTCCTATGCATATGAGTCCAGACTATATCGGACCGACTAAAACGTCAATAATATTTTTTTCTGACATATTTTATTTTCTTCATATCATACGAATGGTCCAAGAATATCTTACTATGTGGAGGATTATTGAATCAAATCTATGGATTTTTAGCTGCATCATATGCTGAAACACCTGCAGTTACACTTCTCCACAGCACTGCTAACAATAAAAACTCCAACATAATGATTTTTTTTTTTTTTTGGGTCCAACATTTAAATCCTTTGTATGGAATCAATAATGCAGCTGATAGAAAGACATTTTGGAAACTAAAATAAAATACAATGATTGGAGAATTTGTCTGCAAATTAACTAAGCTGTATGCCAGAAAAGATAAACAAACAAAACTGTTTACCTTCTGAAGAAATTAACGAAGAAACAAAGACAAAAATCAAAAGGTTGATGAAGGGGGAAATCTATGGCAGTAAGTGAACACTGCTGTCTGTCATCAACACTTAATAACATGTTGGAATAAGAGTTTAATATCCTGTCATACATGTTTATAAGCAAGGATGGTTTACACACACCTCATGACAATAAAACTATCTGAAACCTAAAATGAATTGGATGACTTTTAACTTAAGACACAGACCCACTTTTACTGTATTATTATCGAATATAATGGAAGAAAACTCGAGATGTTAAATAGTCATTAACCATATCATCACTATGACAGTGTTAAACATTAGAGGGATCAGATTAGGAAACCCCTCCCGACGTTGATCTTTATATGTAAACCATTTGAGTTGGAGTGAGGTGAAATCCACATCGAGATCATCTCGAACAACTCGGAGTGAGGCGAAACCTCCTCGAGGAGATTGTCTGGTGAGATCTATAGATGTCCCTATGCCTTCGGGTTAAGATCAAATCAGACTGACTCACCATCGATGACATATCTCCTAAACTTTCCTTATGCTTCATTAGATTTAGATTAGATTATGGCTAGTCTCTTCTTCTATATCTCCTGCCTGATCAATATAAACAGTCAACGTGATTCTAAGATGGAACAGTGGTGAGACAATGACGATCCCAATTACATACTACAGTTCGTATCTCACAGTCAATCCTTAATGTATTGTCCTCTAAAAGACAACATCTTACCTTTCCCGGACGGCGGTCGACGGCAGGTGGTTTCCCCCTCCCAGTCTTCCTCGTGAGCCCTTCGCGATATCCTCTCTGTGGTCCTTTCCTAACCGTCTTGCGCTTTCGAGACCTAGAGATTGTATCGAGATTCCATTTCGTTTGTCGTTTTTTCTTGATGATGCGTTGCGACCGGTGGAGTTTTGGTGTCGAACGGATTTTCTTGATTCCACATCAAGATGTTGTTCATGATTCGTGCTATCCGGTTTTGTTCTTGTGAATTTGGTGCATCCTAGCGCCTTCGTTGCGGGTTTCCGTGATCCCTTCTTTGAGTTCTCTTTTGGCCATCGATGGCATGGCGTGCAGCGGTTTCAGGATACGAAGAAATCGTATCAAGATTTTACTTCATGTCGGCGGCATGTTTGTAGTGGTTGCAAGAACTGGTATCGGAATTGACTTAACCGATCTGATATGAAGAAATTGTATCGAGATTCAATTTCATATCAAGAATCGGTCATTTTTGCTTTAAAGTATTTTCTTGGGTGGTAGAGCAATCTAGGGCTGCAAAATTATTCATGTTTTGTGCCACCCTCCATGTGTTTGTGCTTTGCTCTGATAAAGGGAATATGAGGTAGTGGTGGGTTTTAACGGTGGAGTACGAAGCTGGTTGGGCCGAAGCCACCAATATCTTTTTGGTTTTGATCTTTGATGTTTAATGGATGATATATTCTGGAAATTAAATTGGGAATGCATTGTAGTACTTGGAAATTTGTTAGCCAGATCATGCTTGTCACTCATTCAATTGGCCATTTGGTAGCTCCTTCGAGGACTCGAATCCTTTACTTTTTCCGGTCTCTTCCTCTACTATTTCTAACATGTTTTACCATGTGCGGATATACTTGAAGTAATTGTCTTTTACCTGTTCCTTTTATTACATGTTTGAATCGATGGTAAAATGATATGAAATATTACTATTTCTTCTACCACTCTACTATTGTTCTCTATGCTATGTTTAATTTCAATTATTCGGCTCTATGATTTCATCTAATATTAACCTGTTTCAGGATCAGTGGATTTTAGACTTTATGATTTGACCATACTTATCGAATATTTAGAAAATGAGGTCGCAAAAGAACAAATTAATTTGTTGAGATAATCATGTTCTTCATGTTTTTTGTTGTGCTGTTTTAATTTTATGATGCGCTTTATTTAAGTTAATATTCTGATTTATTCACAATACTGTATGAAACAGTCAGAAACTGTTTTTTTAGGCTAACCAATTTGTAACTTCATATTGCAAATCACAGCCAGAGCATCAAGGGCATCCTTTATGTTAGAAGATATCATGGAGTGTATATTATGTAATTTGCATAAAGTTCAGAAAAGTTTTCACTTTTGGCAATCTTGGGCTGAGGTGATTGTTGTGTGTGTCTATTTCATTGCTAATTTAGTATCACTTGCTTTATAGTGCTAGAAGATAAAGAGTCACTTCAAAAATAATCTTGAGATGTTTACCCTTGTTCTTATTGATGTTTCTTCTAATTTTAGGGAACAAATGCTCAGAAGATTTATTTCATGATCTTTGAAAGAGGACCACAGGCCTTTATCGACGGGACTTGTGAAATGTTAAGCAGAATTGGAATGAATGGATCTCCCTTCCAGCATTTATCTCATGCTGCATCCAAAAGCTGAAGCTGGATCTTGAGACGTAAGTTGAATAATTTTCGTCTGGATGTTCTAATCAATTATATATTATCTTGTGATGTTGTGACTGCACTAAAGGAAAACTTTCTATACAGAGCAATGCTCGAGCTGGATCAGATTCTCAGGGCAAATGAAATCAATTTTGCTGTTCTTGCTGCTCTGCCAGCCTTTTTTCTTTCTCTTGTTCTGCTTATGTTGGTCCGAGTGTGGGTGATGCGGGTGGGTATCTAATGTTGCTAGATCTTTAGATGTTTTGCAAATTTCTTTTGCCTAGTATGTTGAGAACCTTGTTAGGCTTTGTGAAATCTACATCTATGAATTGTTTTTTGTGCTTTTTCGAATGTGCTTAGTGCAGGTTTCACTTGAGGAAAATTTATTATTCTTATGAAGCTCACCTATTAGTGAAATACATTGTTCTGTTGTTAGCCCACTTGAATTTTAATTGCTGTAAGTGGACAATGTTAGGATAAGAGTGCAGAAGGCAGAGGGAGAGTTGCTCACAGGCAAAGAAGGCTTCTTGTTGTCGAAGTTGAGAGGAGACTAGTGCAGTTCCAGACTTGCATGGATCAAGGAAAGGTAAAGCCGGACTAATCTTTCAGGTTCATTAGATTGCTGAAAATTCAGTTTCTTTCTGTTGGGACATGAGATTGTTTCTTCTTAGCGTTTTTAGGTTGTTGTTAGGTTGAGATCCGATGCCTCTCGTCCTCTTTTAGTCACTAACAACTGGTTTATAAGTAGGAGAATACAATCTCCGCAAACCTTAGTTGCAGCAACTGATAGATCCATATGGGTCCAATCCTGTCCACACCTATATTACTCCCAAGATCATACAAGCTTCTCTCAAGACTATGATTTTAAATGCAGTTCAACAGCTACATAGAAATTATTATTCCTTGTAAATATGAACCATTTGCGTTGCTGAAACATGACTGCTAGAGATTCTTTTCATTATTCCTTTGCAAGTTACACACGAGCTATTGACGCAACTGAGTAGCGCACCTGTTGGGTATGCATGACAACGTTCATGAATAACATTAAATTCTTTAGTTTTTTCGCTGTTGAAATCATAGCTGATATTTCACTTGGTAACCTCATATTATTTACCAAAGAAAAATGGGTCATGTAGTTTATGCCTTTTTTATTGGTAAACAGGAGGAGGATGCTCGATGCATATAGGGAATGGTGCTGTATAGCCTTGATCGCCTGTACAAGCCAGCGGAAAGGCATGCAAAGGAAACAGGCGAGTGGATGAGGTTAGCGTCGATTCCTGTAAATTTCATACTGCAACTCTTAAAGATGTTATTGTTGTAAGTAATTCTTGTCACGTTACAGGCCGCGAGAGTATGTAGGCATGCTACCGTTTGATCCTCCACCACCAAGTTCGATGGTGGGACCCGCATTAAAGATACAAGGGGATGCGCCAACATTGTTGACGGCCGAGATTAGATCATACAAATCCATCCCTGGATCCTCATCGCGGCGGTACAAGCTAAACTGAACATGATCTTTGGTTAAATCTAACTCTGCATCTCCTTCCTACGGCTCCATCCAGTCTTCACAACCGAGTAGATGGTGGGGATGATTTGAGCGGTTACATAACTCTGTGGACGGCGGAGATCACATCATACAAATCCATCCTTGGATCGTGATCGCGCCGCCACAATCTAAACCGGACAAGATCTGGGACAAATCTAACGGCCACCACGGAGCTCGATGGTAGGATCTACGGGGAAGATATTGAGGGGTTGCGTCCACACTTTGGATAGCGGGGACTTATCAAAAGATCCGGATCGCGTCGCGTTCAAGAACCCGCGTCGGTCAACTTGTCCGACGACCGATGTACGGTCGGGATCCTTCCATCGAGATGACACAAAAGCTCTCCCCTCCTTTCCCTCGTTTCCTTCGCCCTTGCTCTGATTTCCCTGCAACGGCGGAGGCGGGGAGAGAAGCTAAGGGGAAGTTGTCTGTCGTCCTTTTCCCCTTCTTGTCTCCCTCTTATAATTCTTATCTATGGATCCTCCGGCGGCGGACGCGCAGAACGAGAGGGAGGGGTTTCTCGCCCAGGTGGACTCCTTCCTCGTTGATGCTCTCGAGAATCCTCGCCATCGGCTCACCGGTACGCGTTCTTCACTCGAATTCTGATGTATTGTCAATGGATTTCTTGCTTAGGGTTTGGATTCTTTCCGATTTGATTCGGCCGTTGCTGTAACTTCGGTTCGTGTGGCTGCTTTTGTTGGATTGTAGTTTTAGGGTTTATTGTTGGATTGTGAAGAACATGGTTCTCTTTGTGGGAATTCTTGCGTGTTATTTCGTCGTGTGAATTCTGATTTGATCTGGATCTAGTATGGTAGATGAAGCGTGGGCAAATGAATTTGACATGGTTTGGATTGATTGACTGTTGATGAAGAGATCTGTTGTGGGTTAATAGTTCCTTCGTTCCTTGATATGGAAACGCCCATCTTTGCTGATGATTCCTTCGATTCTAAAGAATACCATCATAAGATAGTCGCTCCGATCTCTAATTGTGATACCTTTAACTTGAATTTGATGAACAAAATGTTTGAGAATTGCCTACCCAATCTTGTGATTGGGAATTGCCAAATTGATTTCCATGGAAAACAGTACTGATGGCCAAACTGCTGGTAGATCTGTTGTCATAATTGAAATGAAGAGTTTATCATATGATGAAAAGTTTGATCTCGTGTATTTCTAAAATGTCTTTGGCCAAACTGCTGGTAGATCATGTTGATTCGTTTGGCAGTCCATCACTGCTAGCAGTTGGACTTTCTTTTTAGAATAAAGAGTTCATAACATGACATCTTGTAGAATGTATCATACTGAATCCATTGGCTCAGCACATATCATGCTAGTGAGTTACCAACACTGATATCCCATATATTGGTGTGCCAACAAGGAATTGTCACCTATGACCCCCTTGGTTTGGGCGATCCATGGGCAACTCAATTGACTTATCTCATATGCATAAGGGATCTCCATGATACCTTATTAACATTTTGATTTGTGTGGCCCAAGCATGTTTTCTACATTAAGCTTTGTCCAATCCAGGTTAGCTCATCTTTATTCAGTGTTTCTTGGCCTATGGACAAAGAGGATCAAGAATAGCCACTTGTCATATTTGACTAAGACGACCCCCCCTTTCCCTTCTTGGTGCTACACATTGTAGGTACAATCCATGATGAATTGCCAGGTGGTAGAAAATGTATCACAGGATTTTGCTAATGATATTCTTTTTCTGCTTGATGAGAGCCATTATAGGATGTATTCTGGTCAAATTTTTGGAAACCAAGGGTTCTAAGCAAGACTTATGACTACGAACATAAAGTTCAACTTTATATTCATTATGAGAACCCATGATATTTACTACTTGCTAGTGATCTTGTTTTAGTTGATGAGAACCAATATAGTGCAACACCAAGGGAAAATATGTCAAAGAATCTAATTATGCTAATCCAACTTTAGCAACACCAAGGGAAAACCTAAAGTTACAGCTGAATAGACAGATCAAAATTTCCTAGTTGCAAAATCTTTTTAGAATTTGGATCTATCATTGAATTTTATTGAATTTGGGTCTATCGTTGACAACACATTGAAGAAGATATCATCATGGAACGAAATGAGTTGGATAAAGTGGAGAGTGGCATTCCTGTGATTGTTGTTCTCTCTTTAGATCAAAAAGGATTACAAAACACTTTTGTATGTTCCATGATTAGGAAATTGTATATCTTAATAGAAGAGAAAGATTAGTAAATGTTTTCACTTTGTGTATTTGGGAGAGTTTTAACTGTGGATAAAATGAAGATAAATTGTTTAGGTGTTTAGGATATTTCCAAAGAGACTCTTAAATGCACCTATCGTGAGTTGCACGATATGTCAATTTTGGATATCCGACTTGTCATTTTAATTGAGCCAGCATCAACCTTAAGTTGTCTATTTGTAGCTAAATCTCGAGTTGTATGCACTTCAAAATTGCATACATTTTCTATTATGGGTTACTTGGCTAATAAAATATGGTTATTTTTTGGTTTTTTTACTTCTTTGGTTGCTTAACATATTTTTAATGTGGAAAGGGTCCAAGTACATATGTTGGTTTTTAATCAAGACAACTTCTCTGGTATTTCATCCACTGGCATAGTTGAACTTTTGATAGTTGATTGCAACACATCCTCGTGCTTGTTTTTATCATAACTTTTTACTGTTTACCACACTTGCTATTTGGTTGAAAACAAATTTAGTAGGTTGAAGGAAGTGGAAGTTTATAAACTCGTTTACATATTTTTTTTCTTCTATGAACTTTATACTGATTATGTATCTACTTTGTCTTTAAACTTCAGTTCTGCGAATGGAGTTGGCCATCCAGAGGTTCATGCAGAATCCTGATCAACATCAATTTGAATTTCAGCATTTACCGACTTCCTATCTAAGGTGTGCTGCACATCGTGTTGCTCAGCACTATGGGCTTCATACCATGTCACTCGACAACTCGGTAGATGGTCTAGGCAGCAGGGTGATAGCCAGGAAAACACCTAATAGCAAATATCCAGCTATCTGTTTATCAGAAGTTCCTCCAAAACAAAATGAAAAGGAAATTGCTGAACAATTTAAGATTGCCATTCGTCCAAGGCCAATGAAAGGTTGCCTTAGTGATGATGTCGAGCTGGGACTCAAAAAAGGTGCAGTGAGATCTGTGGAAGAGCGCAAGGAGGAATATGATAGAGCACGTGCCCGCATATTTAGTGGCTCTAGCAGTTCAGAGGGGGATGGATCATTGTCTGCTGATTCAATTGACAGGAGAAGCTTGCCTTCCAGTATGGATGAGCAGGAATATGCACTAGAGGAGATCGAAAAGACCCATAGCAAAGATAGTGCATCTAGGGTTGCCATTTTCCGAGATATGGAGAAGGACCGCACTGATCCAGATTATGATCGGAGTTATGAAAGGTACAGGTCATCTCATTCTATTCCAGGCTCTTTTGTATCCACGCGATCTGTCATACCAAGTAACTTGCTCAAACTTCCGCAGGTACGTTAGAGGACCCGCAGCGTTCCAGAATTTTGGTCTGCAAGCATGCAATATTCTTCAGCCTCCTTTCGTACAGTACGAGGCAGATGTTTCCTCATTCAGCCCCATGTCAAGGAACCTAGCTAACCCATCGGTGAACCCATATTTTGCTTTCGGATACGACCAGAACACAAAGGATGCTTTCTGCATGCAGTGGCCCAACCCTGCCATGATGTATGCATACTCCTACGAACACTTCAGGCAGGCTAAGTTTCAGGTATGCCGATGCGACGCCCTGTTTCCGGTGATCCTTGACCGATGAAGAATCTTAATTATTGGTTTCCGTCTTGTGCAGGCACCATTGTATCAGCAACCTCTGAGCTTTGAGCATCCGAGGAACCTCTAGCCCTAGGCAAGCTGTGTCCATCTGTTCTCTTTGGATGTAGAGTAGATGTGGGTTGTTGTTTTGTACTGCTACTTTAAAGACTCTTTAGTCTTTGATTTGGAGGTGGGGGGACACTTGTGTTGTTTGTGTGGTAGATATGTGATCGCCTCTGTACTTTGATTGCAGCGGTGACTCCTTTTTTTGTGCCTTTGGTTACGATTCTTTTTTTAGGTTGTTCATATATTTTATATACGTCTCTGTCGCTTGCAAGCATATAACAAAATATACTATCTGCCATATTTGAGTGACGGCGTTATTATAATATGAATAATTTTAGAGTGCTAACGGTTAACGCGCGGGACGTGCGCGCATATCGGTCGGTCGTGTGGGAATCTTGATGCATTGATCATCGCCGGCGCGGGAATCTTAGGGCGCTCATGTATAACACCGCGACTCCAGACTCGCTGCTGGAGATCGTATGTTCTCATGCTCTCCTCTGGTCGTGGTCTTATGCCATAGCTTCTTGTTCTTGAACCTTTTCGGCTTTTCTTGGTTCTTGAGACTTGGTGCGATCTCGACCGGGCTTTCAGTTTCGTCGGGGAACGGAACCGCTATAGCCCCCGAGATCGCGAGCATAGGTGAAGCTTGGCGAACTGCCATATCCTCCAAGATCTCGTCGAGGTTGGTTTTTTTGGCCCCCTTCTTGAATTAGTTTTGGCTTCTTGGATCGTCTCTGTTGGGATTTCTTTACTTTCCTTCTTGAATTACAATAGGCTTGTTCATGTTCTTAGGGCTTCTTGTAAGTTTTCTCTTCCTCTCTTCAATCCCATGTTTCTAAACGCTCTTCTTGTTGGGTTTGTCTCTCTTTTTCCCTCTTCTCTTTCTTTCCGTTGTTACTACTTCATCAGATTCTTTTGGTGCCTCCGGGAGCAAGATGATTGTTCATGAACCTACCTTCTTTAGATCTATATATGTGTCTAATTTAGATTAATTTCTCTGGGCATGGTCCAATTGCATTTGAACGTATATTCCAAATCCACAATGCGTCATGGTCCTCATTGAAGACTTAAAATGTGGAATTGATTCTCTTGATTGCAATGCATGTTGATGTCGTTAATTGGGTCGAAAATTGACATTGAAATGTCAAAATTGGGTCATTGGGTGCATATCGAGTTCGACGTCACATCACAATATGGTAATTATCCGCCTCACCGCCTCCGCTGCTATTTATCCTATCGCCCTCTCCCTCTCCCCAGCTGTGGCCGGCACAAGTCCAATGGATTGCAGCAGCGCGCTCTCCACCAAACCCGTCCCTCCCGCTCCTCCAAACCCCTCCTCCGCGAACCTCCCGGAATCCCCGACTCCGCAGCGCAAGATTTGGATCAAGCCGACGGCTCCGGCTTCCAAGAAGCAGCAGCAGCAGCAGCGGAGGAAGAAAGGGTCTGGGTGGGACGAGAAGAGGGTGGTGGGTTTCGTGGATTACGACGAGGGCGAGCGCCGCGTCTCTACCGAGATCAGCGGGGCCCGCAAGGATGAGATCCCTGCGAGGTACCGCCTCCGCGTCGACGGCAGCCGCTGGCAGAAGGACTGGAAACTCTCGGAGGTCGTCGACCAGGTGATGAGGCTGCGCCACTGGGAGGACATCGATGGCGTCCTCAACCGCTGGGCCGGTCGCTTCGCTCGGAAAAACTTCCCTCTCCTCATTCGGGTACGTCTCAATTCCCCGCCTTCGTTTTTTCTTTTTTTTTGCCGCTGGTGCGGAGGATTTACACGTTATATCATGAAACCTTGTCCACGAATACTTTTTGAGGGGAGATTACATGGTTGATTGCGCAATATGGAACAAATGTAGCATCTTTGAAATCATATAGGCATGTATTACCGGGTAACAATTAGGCTTGCGATTGTACTTTCCATGGGGAAAAGAGATTTCCTACCAACATACACGATGGAGCATGCCTTGGCTTTATGTTATTGGATGAACAATGGACAAAATATTGAAGAAATTGGGGATTTATAAAGGTAAGATTGGTTGTTGGACAGGTCCTGACTGATGTGATTATGTTTTGGTAGAATTTATCCAATGACAAGAGCCGGACTCTGTCAACTTTTATCATATCCTACCAGGATAAATTCTTCGTATATTATGATGTAATTCGTTGCACTAAGAAGAGACTAGCTTGTGTTATGCAGTGGGCATGTCCCAAAAGACACATGCCAACACTTCAACCCTCCATTGAAATGCAGTGAATCAAATGACATGCTAATCAAAGCTAATGACAATGCACTAATCTAGCAAGTGATATTTTTCAACATGCAAACTTGTGAAATCTAATGTCAAATATTTGGATGGGGTTCTCAAGTTGATCCAATTAATGTTGATGTATCAGTTGTCAACTTCTCACACTGGATCATTTGATTTTACACCCAAATTGATTAAATCCATAGGAACGAAGAGATACGGTTCCATGATTTCAATATGGCAAATATAAGACCAACTGAACAAGGTATGGGTATGTGTAAGTGGAGTGCATAGAAAAGGTAAACTTGACAACAAAAAGTTCTTTCTTCAGTGGTATTCAACAGTTACCACCTTTATATGGACAATTTTGTATTATCCTACGTTAAGACTTAACAGGTAACTGACATGTTCCAGCCTCCAAACCTTCCCTGACTGTTTAGAACATCGTTCTAGGTTCTCAAATGAACTAGAACAAAAGTTTCCTAGTTGAATTAGTTTTGAAAACCAAGACCCAGCTTCTGATATTTGAAAGATTGTGGCACGAATTAAGATTGCCTATTTATTTCCAGTTCTTTGTGGTCTCCAAGCAAAGCATAACTATGATGTTCATAAAAAAAGCTAAAATAATCTGCACACTTATTGCTTCAACTAATTTGGTGGAGGTGCATGCGTAGATGTGAACATAAAGTGTCCACTCCCAAATTTATAAACAGATGATACTCGTACTGCCTAAATATCATTTCCTTTGATCTATGGAATTTGACTGATGCAAAGAGTTCGTGTGCCAGAAGTTTTAGTTTTTTAGCAAAATTACTACTGGTAAGACTCTGTGATTTGATGCTCCCTTGATCCCGCATTGATGGGAGGCTTGTGCTGGGTGTACCTTTTTTAAAATAAATTGCTTAAGGATATAGGTATTTATGTGTTGTATCATGTGCTACCCTGTAGCCAGTACTTTTGTGCTGCATGTTGGATAGTGCTGTTACTTGGAACACATTAGCCTTCTCTGTTAAAAAGGAAAAAGAAAAAACTTGGCACTAATGGATTTGCCTGCATAGATACAGAATTAGGACTTCAGTGTGTGATGAGGGTTCAACGAGCATTTTGCACAAGATGTTTATGTTAAGTGATTTTCAATGTCCGTCATGTATGTTACTTAGTGCACTTTGAGTGAAGGCTGATTTAGGATACTTAAAGATACTTGTAACAATTAGCAGGTGACCTACATAAAAAGAAGGAATTGAGATATTAAGAATCCTGACTCAGAAAGGCTATGTTCTTCAGTGTTCAACTTATCTCCTTGGAGTTTTTTGGATTCTTTCATGGTCATTGTGCATTTTGGCTAAAACAACTGCAGATTACTTAAGGATATTTAAGGTTGACAATAGATCTTTGAATTCCAGAAGAGAAGGAACTTAGTTATTTGAATGCTGGACAATGAAAGGAAGTCCTGGTAGCTGAAGTTGAAAAAACACCGACACAACTTAAAGGCAGGGTAGATATTGCATTGAGTTGTGCCACCAAAGATATGAGTATGGGTTTCACAGTAAGGTAGTAACTAGTTACTGCAACCTGGAGGTACTTTCCCTGTGCCATGCCTATGTATATACACCACAGAAACAGGCATATTATATGTCCTGGAGGTGGTACCATCTTTTGGACATAATGTGCAGAATTTGCTACATGGCAATCTTGGCTCACACCATAAATACAGCATATAAGTAGATGACATGTGTATGGACATTGAGCTATAAGATTGATAACTTTGATCTTATAATCTTTTTTGTATCAGTTGTAGACTCTGATATATGATGTTTATTACTACAGTTATTATGCCAATTCATCCTAAATGCATAAAGTGCTTAAACTTTTTGGATGCTTTACAATTGTTACTTTGTCTGTGAGTAACAAAATAATGTGCAGAAGTTAAATAAAATTTTTATGTTTGGGTATTTTTTAGGAAATAACAAGTACTGGTTCCCTTGATCATGCTGTACATGTGTTCCGGTGGATGAAAAATCAGAGACACTACTCTCCTCGGAGTGACATCTACAATATGCTCATTAGTCTGCATGCCAAACATAATCAAACTGATCAAGCACGTGGTTTATTTTTTGAGATGCAACAGTGGAGGTAATTTATTTATGAAATGAAAATATAGATATGTTTTGTGGCATTATTTGTTGGTGTGTGTGTTCAGATGCAGACTGTAAAGAAGGTAAACTTTTTAAATACCAGGCTACTGATTATGTTACTGATCAGTTTGTTAGACTGGAAAAGTTTGCTTAACAATGCCAAATATTAGTTTGTTGTGATGTTATCTGATGTTTGCATGTCTGACATTGTTTTAGGTGCAAACCTGATACTGAAACCTATAATTCTCTCATTAATGCACATGGTCGAGTTGGTCAGTGGCGTTGGGCTGTTAATATTATGGAAGATATGCTTCAAGCTTCTGTATGTACTTTATCATGAATTCCTGATCACACTGTTGTATGATAATAATTTTTTTCTTGCTCTTCTTTATGGCTGATTTCAGACCATGTTGCATTTGCTCTGAAAAGTCATCGACAACTAATCATAAGCTCCGTGATAATTTATCTACATCTTCTCTGATGAACTGGTTGTTTTAACCATCCAATGATAGTAACCAAATGGTGGATTATTTACTTCCTGTTTGGCTTATTGTAGCAACCTGCACTCATTTTTATTGTTTCCTAAGTTTTATGCCAATCAAATGAGAGCAACCCATCTATCTTAGTGTTTGGCTGTATGGATCAGCAAAGACTGGTCATAGAACCATTGTTACTGCAATTCTTTAATTTTATGGGGTAATGAGCAAGACTTTTGACATGATTTGAAAATTTTACTGATTTGAATCTGGATATGTTGAATGCAGGCTGATTTGTTACTTTTTTCGATCCTAATCATGAACTCTGATTAGCTGAGATGCAGGTTTAAAAATTTAGATTTGAGATTGATCATTAGAGATATAGACTAATAATGGATT